CGTGGCGTGGACTTCCCCGATCTTGTTGTAAAGATGTGACATTTTCAATCGCAAGTGGTTCTTGTATTCCCCTTTGCTCCCAGCTCGGCACTGGTGTGTCCCTGTGCGTCGCTCTCCTGCGGGGCACGGGGGCCGGTGTGGCCTTTTCTCTCCAGTTGATTCTCTGGGGTTTGTATTCGTCTCCGATGTTAGCAGGTCAGGTCCCACCGCAGGATTCTGGCTACCGATGCCCAGCTGCCCGCGCGTGGAGATGGCGTCGGGTCGGCCACCCCGCAGCCTCCGGCCCGGGAAGAGCTGACTTCTCACCGATGCGGTGAGGCAGCGGCTCCACCTGCCGCCTGTGCTGTGTCCCCCCCTCCTGGCCTGTCAGGTTCAGCGCGGGATGCGGCTCCGTCCCCCCCCAGGGTCAGCCCTGAGGGCGAACGCGCCCCGTGAATCGTGCCGGACGCTGTTCTATCGGTGCAGAGGCGGTGCCGGCTGCTTGGTGCTTGAAGGTAAACGCGGCCTAAAGGCGTCAGCACGTACTGGACCAGCTTTAAAAACCGTTCAGTGTGCATTTGGATAAAACGGATACGAAGTTCTGAAGTCGAGGTCTAAGTTTTTAATCTTATTCCAGATCGTAGAACCGGCGTCACATGCAGCGACGAGAGAAGGAGAATCCAGCGTCTGGCCTGGGATTTAGAACAAGCCCGCAGGGACCCGGCAGGGAGCCCGCAGGGAGCCCGCAGGGAGCCCACAGGGAGCCCACAGGGAGCCCGAGGCCGCTCTGAGCTGACTCCGGGCGGGTCCATGTTTGCTTTTGTCACAAGCTGCTCAGTTGCTGTCTGAGCCGTAGGAGCCGTGAGCCGACACAGGAAGGGGACACCAGAGGCACCCTTCCAGCGCTCCCACCTCCTTCACCGCATCTGCTCAGGTCTCCACACACACGCGCGTACACACACGCATGCAAGCATGCACACACACATGCATGCACACACATGCACACATATGCACACACACATGCACACACGCACGCACACCTGGGAACCATAAGTAAATGAAAAGGCACCTTCAGTGTAAGTCCTCCCCTCACAGGCTTCTCTCTGTGTGCTTCTCTCACAGTAGGACACAGGCCGACCTGAACGAGCGAGCACATGGGTTCCTGGGCGGGGCCCAGGGTGGTTATGGGAGAGAGCTGTACTTCTACCAACAATGAAAATGTATTTAAAAAGTATTTTGTCTGTGTCTTGTTTTGTCCTGAAGCCAAAAGTATGAACCAAAAAAAAAAAATTGGGCTCAGTGGTTGAGCGTCGACCTATGAATGGGAGGTCAGGGTTCGATTCCCACTCAGGGCACAGGCCCGGGTTGTGGGCTCCATCCCCAGTGTGGGGCGTGCAGGAAGCAGCCGGTCCATGATTCTCTCTCCTCGTTGATGTTTCCATCTCTCTCCCTCTCCCTTCCTCTCTGAATCGATTTTAAAAATATATGAAAAAAGAAGAAATTGGGGGTGAGTGGGAGTGAGACCCATTGAGAGACCTGCAGCGACGCAGAGCCCTCCCCGTGCTGGGCTCGGGGTCCAGTTTCCGTTCCGAGGGGAAACACGGGGTCATTCGTTTCCTCTCAAAGGGAAACGTTTTTCCAACAAGTCATTTCCCTCCTTTCTGTTGTCCTCACAACACAAACCGAAGCTGGGGGCTCGTGACCAGCCCCTCGGTGCGGAGCGGCCATGACGTTGGCATTTCCCCTGTCTTTCCCCTCAGCTCCCTTTGCCTGTGTGGGGGCCGGAGGCCAGATGCCAGCCAGTGAGGCGGGCATGGAGGTCGCTGAGGGCAGTGGGAGCGGGAGGAAGCTTCTGTGGAAGTTTGGCTTCTTGGTACAGAACGGTGCGGCCGTGGTCAGCGCCCCTGCTGCTCCCCCGGGAGTGGCGGTTGGCTGATGGCTGGCGCATGCAGCCCCGGTGCAGCCGCGAGGGGAGGGCAGTGCCCAGCCATGGAGAGGCCTGGTCTCTACTTCGCGGAGCCCTTCATGGAAACTCGTTCCGGAGGAGTCAGGCGACGTCGCAGAACCGGGGCAGCGTGTGGGGCCCCAAGTGTCAGGGTCTGTGTGTCTCAGGACCCAGGAGCTGGCGAGCTGGGGAGGCAGCCACCGAGCCAGTGCAGTGAGTGTCGATGCCCAGGGGACACTAAGGAATGTCTGCTAAGGAGTCCCAGGCCCTGACAGAGGACATGCTCCAGGAGAGCGGGCAGCTCCGGGAAAGGGTCTCCATCGATGCTCCCCCCTTGCTGCCCCCACACCTGCTGAGCCGCCCCTGCAGACTCGGGAAGGCGCTGGCTGAATGGCCGGAGCGGTTTCCTCGCACCTGCTCCCCGGGGCTGTGACTCTCCGGGGACCTGGGCCCTGCGTTACTTGCTCTGAGCGCTCTGCATCGACCCCAAGTGTGGTGTTAGTGGGTTCTCTGTAGGGGATGGAGCGGTACCCTCCCGCGTTCCAGAGGGCCTGCTCTGCGACCTGCTCCCGGCCCGGGGCCTGGACCTTTGTGTAGGAGAAGATGCCCCGATACCAACGGAGAAAGGGTTAGGGTTTATGTTTGTGGTTTGGGGTTCGGGTTAAGGTTAGGGTCAGTGTTAGGGTTAGGACTTCTGTTTAGGGTCAGGGTTAAGCATTAGTGTTAGGGTTAAGATTTATGGTTGTTAGGGTTAGTGTCAAGATTAGAGTTAGGGCCCTGACTGGTTTGACTCAGTGGATAGAGCATCGACCTGCAGATTCAAGGGTCCCAGGTTCGATTCCGGTCAAGGCATGCACCTTGGTTGCAGGCACATCCCCAGGAGGGGGTGTGCAGGAGGCAGCTGATCGATATTTCTCTCTCATCGATGTTTCTAACTCTCTCTTCCTCTCCCTTCCTCTCTGTAAAAATCAATAAAACATATTTTTTTAAAAAAGATTAGGGTTAGGGCAGTGGTTCTCAATCTTGGCTGCACATTAGAATCACCTGGGAATTTTTTCTTTTTTTAAAAATATATTTTATTGATTTCTTACAGAGAGGAAGGGAGAGAGATAGTCAGAAACATCGATGAGAGAGAAACATCGATCAGCTGCCTCCTGCACCCCCCCCCCCCCCGGGGATGTGCCCGCAACCAAGGCACATGCCCTTGACCGGAATCGAACCTGGGACCTTTCAGTCCGCAGGCCGACGCTCTATCCACTGAGCCAAATCAGTCAGGGCGGGAATCTTTTTAAAATCCTGATTTCTGGGCCTCATCCTCCGGAAATTCTGTTTCTTTGTTATGGGGTGAGGCCACATTAGTAACAAAGAAACAGAATTTCCGGAGGATGAGGCCCAGAAATCAGGATTTTAAAAAGATTCCCAGGTGATTCTAATGTGCAGCCAAGGTTGCAAACCACTGGGTTAGGGTTAGGGTCAAGGTTAGGGTTAAGGTCAAGTTTAGGATTAGGTTTAGGCTTTAGGGTTAAGGTTAGGGTTAGGATTAGGGTAAGCCTTAGGGTTAAGGTTTAGCATTTAGGTTTAGGGTTAGGGTTAGGATTTGTGGTTAGGTTTAGGTTTAGGTTTTAGCATTAGTGTTAGGGTTAGGATTAGGATTATGGTTAGGGTTAAGGTTTAGGTTGTGCTGTTAGGGTTAGGGTTTGGATATACATTTAGGGTTAGGGTTAAGATTTAAGTTTAGGGTTAGGGTTAAGGTTAGTGTTGGACTTCTTGCTATGTTTTGGGTTAGAGTTAGGGTTAGGGTTAGGGTTAGGGTTAGGGTTAGGGTTAGGGTCAGGGTCAGGGTGAAGGACTTCTTGCTGTGGTGAGGTCTCCCAGGACACAGGGAGCACACTGTCCTGCAGGGAGTCCACAGCAGGGAGTGTGAGAACTTGCCCATCCCCCTCTGCTCTGTGGGAACCTCCCCCACTTCCCTGCGGGATACGTTGTCAATAAGTGATAAGCTGGTTAGTTTCCCAGGCGAACAGCTGGAGGGCCATGCGTGTGTGTGAGACAGAGCCTCGGGGACCCTGCCGAGCTCCCGTGTAGTCACTGCCCCCGGAATGCTTCCCTGAGGTCATTGCTCACATGAGACACAAAGTATTTAGAGTTGGGAGATAGAAACACTGCGAGTGCAGGGAAGGAAACACTGGTGAACTGAGTGGTGACGTTGTTGGTTTTGCTTTTGTAAGAAAGAATGTTGATGCGTGAGAGAGCCGACTTCTGACATCAGGGTGGCCCCTGTGCCTTCTTGGGTCAGGTAACTTCCCTGAGTTTCTGCCTCGTCATCTACAACATGAGGATGGTGAGACCCACTGTGCACTGGGATTCTGTGAATGCACGCACCTCTTCCGCCAAGCGTCTGGCACACAGTAGGTCCTCAAGCCGGCAGCTGATCCGTGGGGAGCCGCAGGGGGGCTTTTATTCTGTGGGCTGGTTTCCTGTTGTGATGCTGGGCTCCCCGGAGAATTAGTGCAGGTGTTTCACGCTGCGCGCCTACAGGGGCTCCGTTCCGGGGCAGGGAGAATGCGGGCAGCACCTTCCCGTGAGCCCAGGACCCAAGGGCGGCGGCCGCTCCGAGCGGCAGGTGCCTGACCGGGGCCCCTCTTCCTGAGCCTCTTCCAGGCTGAGATGCGAAATGCCCGCCATATGCACTTTTCTGATGTCGTTGCCCAGTGCAGAGGACGTTACAGAAACAGGTTCACAGTATTTATCACCAAAATGAAGCCTGGGTCGTGACTGGGAGGGACTTGATACTGGCCTTCATTTGAAGGCAAAACCCACCCAGGAATCTGTCACCTTTGAGGGCCCTGCTCAGTGGACCCCGCTCCTCTCGGGCTGTTGGCTAATAATCATGACGCTGGTGCTCATGTGCCCGGACGCCCCGAGGCTCCCCCAACTGCTCCTCCACCCGCACCCGCCACGCAGGGGAGAGAGTCCTGTTCCCATGGCCCGCACCCGCCACGCAGGGGGAAGCTCAAATGAAGTCACACCAGAAACAGAAATGTAAAATTAAATATTTAATTAGAACTCTGATTTGCTTTAAAGATAGGTGGCATTGCACAGGCTATATTACACTCTCTTTATAATTTTTTTTTGACAAAAAAAAAAGATACTGTTCATTTTAACAGGCCACAGTAATATTAATTCATGGGTTGGAACTGAAAAATCCGCTAGAGATAGTACAATGTACATTATTGGGAAAATTACAGTTTTGTGTTGTAAAAACATTTATTTTTTTTAACAATTTACCTACATTAATCAAAAAATTACAGCATATTTAATAATTTTACAAATTCTTCATAAAAAATATATCTCTGTACAAAAAGGTCTTTTGCACCTAACTCATGTCAGCAGCATGTGGTGAGATGTCGGACGGGCGGTGATACGGGCCTGCTCCAAAAGCCAGCCTCCTCCTTCCCCTTCGTTATCATTGCTGTGTCGTCGTTGCTTACAAAATATTTTACAGGAGAAAAAGATTATTGCAGCTAGCTTGAAGGAAGGCAAGATGTGTGGGCCAAGCAGCAGCTTTAAAGAGCTTTAAGCACATAACCTGTGGTAGCATGGGCGCCCCGCGCCAGGTCCCCACGGGCCGGGACAGCCTTCTAGTAAGTTCTGAGGAGAGACTAGCTCAGGGAGTGACTGTGTCTATGGAGCGGGCTCTAGAATCTAGACCCACCTAACAGGGCAGTTCTGTGCGCCTGGGGGTGATGCCTCATCTGACGTGGGGGTCTTGGGCCTGTGTCCTGTGGGCAGGGACATGGGGACGGAGACGCGTGCTCAGGCTCTGAGGTGGGGCGCCTGCACCTGCTCGAATGACTCACTCGGATATGTACACAGTGTGTGTGCGTGTGATATGTACACCTAAGCTGTGGAGTGACCCTGTGCCTGCACACCCTGCGTGCCGGGGCCTGGCCTGGCTGACCTCTGGGTCTGAGGAGGGGAAGGGGTGTGAGCTCCGGGATGCGGGGCAGAGCTCTGCCCTGCTGTCGGGTGGGAAGAGGTGTGAGCTCCAGGATGCGGGGCAGAGCTCTGCCCTGCTGTCGGGTGGGAAGAGGTGTGAGCTCCAGGATGTGGGGCAGAGCTCTGTCCTGCAGTCGGGTGGCAGAGAAACGTGGAGAAGTCAGCACAACAGCTAGAGCTGCAGGGGCCATGGAGCTGGAGGGCTGGCGCCACCCGCCAGCTGCAGGGCCCACACCCAGCAGGACAGATGGGCAGGTACTCGGCTGGGGAGGCGCAGCTTGGAAATAGTGTCATCCTGTGACCCCGACAGGGTTTTGTGTTAGTTTTCATGTTTCATGAAGCCCTGCATTTCAACATGCAGTGGACAAGCCAATGGATCAGATTGAAGGAGGTGCGAGCGCCGCCACCCGAACCGGGGTCGCCGCGCCCACACCCCTGCTGGCGCCGATGCGATGGAGAAAGGGAAACTGGCTGCCTGTGTAACGGGCCGTCAAAGCAAAATGATGAAAGAAGAATCGCCGTTTCAGAACACGTTTCCCATGGCGCTACGTGGAGATGAACATGGCTTTCGCTCGGAGTTGGTGGCGTCCACGCGCACGGCCGCACCTGCCAGGGCCTAGTTCTGGTTGTACCGCCCTGGGGGTCACACCTCCTTCATTTGTGCCTTCGCTTGTCAGTTACCAAGAATGAGCTTAAACCTGGCCGCTCTGACCTCCCTCCTGCCAGGGGAAGCGTGAAGCAGCAGACAAGCTAATGCTGGGGATGGGGTGCTGTGGAGGCGGGTGTGAGCATTCTCCTGCAGCCCCCACCTCCCCCGGGAGTGCTGGGCCCTCTGTGGGCACAGGATCAGGTCCAGGCTCCTGAGGCATCCTGGCCTCGCTGCAACATGGCAGGGGCACAGCCAAAGAGAACACACAGTGCTAAGGGGGTGGGGGGGACTGTCCCGGAGCCCCAGCCACACGTCTGCCAGCCACTGAAATACATGACTGCTCACATGTGCACAGGCGGACAGCATGCTGTCACCTGCTCTGGACACACCTGGGCCAGCGAGGGCTGGGGAGGAACTGTAGGGAACGAAGGCCTCTGTTTGCTCAGACTCCCATGTGGGCTGCAGCTAAAGAAGCAGCAACACGGCGCCTCTCTGCACGCCCGCGCCCCTCCTGCCTGGGCACGGCTGGGCTTCTCCCTGCTCTCACACCTCCACTCACCTAAGGGGGGATGTTCAGCTTCGAGATGAGAGGGTGCTTATGTACAATGGGGGGTGTACAAACCCTGTAAATAGTATATTTTTTATCAGAATCTTACTCAGTCATTCATCACACACTAGTGCAAAAATTGTGCATCAAAAATTCTGCAACAGGACAGCTGGCGGGTGATTGTGGCTGCCCTGGGGCACGGAGGGCCTCCGGGGTCCCGGCAGCGGTGAGGTGGGGCCAGAAGGATGGCGGAGCGTGTGCAGGTGTGTGCAGGCCGGGAAGTGTCTTCGTCCAGAGAGCGTGTGTTTTGCAGAGTTCTTCGGTTCACGGGCTGGAGAACCACATGCGCACAATGTGTCGTGGTGCCCCTGAGGCTGTAACCGGGCCCAGGTGCATGGGAAGGCTCCCCGCCTCGCGGACACAGGCGGTCGGAGACATTGAGTACCGTGGGGCGGCGTGGCCGGGCGGTCTTGACCCCAAGCAGGCAAAGTCAGACATAGAGACTCTGCTGGCAGGATGAAGGGACAGGGTGGCCAGTGCTCAGAAGACTCTCCACGCTCCGTGGACACCTGCACGCTCCATGGACACCCCACGCGCTTTGTGGACACCCCACATGCTCCGTGGACACCCACACGCTCTGTGGACACCCGCACGCTCCGTGGACACCCGCACGCTCTGTGGACACCCCATGTACTCTGTGGACACTTGCATACTCCGTGGACACCGCATGTGCTCCGTGGACACCCCACGCGCTCTGTGGACACCTGCACATTCTGTGGACACCTCATGTACTCTGTGGACACCTGCATACTCCGTGGACACCGCATGTGCTCCGTGGACACCCCACGCGCTCTGTGGACACCTGCACATTCTGTGGACACCTCACGCTCCGTGGACACCGCACATGCTCTGTGGATACCCCATGCTCTGTGGACACCTGCACACTCTGTGGACACAGCACATGCTCCGTGGACACCCCATGCTCTCTGTGGACACCCCATGCTCCGCGGACACCTGCACGCTCCGTGGACACCTGCATGCTCCGTGGACACCCTGTGTGCTCCATGGACACCCGTTGCATGGATCGGAAGATGTGGAGGTGGCTGCGGCCAAGCCGGGGGAGAAGGGCCATGGCACCAGTCAGGCTTGCCCGTCCGAGGTATGGCTATGGTCCAGTCCCACGCGGAGGCTATACCACGGTGCACACCGTGTTCAGTGTCGTGTCGAAGCGCACGGCCTTGGCCTCCGTGGGCTTTAAGTTTGTGTCGTACATGGGGTTCTCGAAGGAAGCCTGCCCGTTGCTGTTCTCGTGGCCGGCGTAGCCGTTGTACTGAGCTTTTGGTCTCGTTCTAAGAGGAAAAGAGGCGAGAGGTGATCAGGGCCCTGGTTTCAAGAACAAAGGACCGAGTGCCCGGCCGTGAAGTTAAGATACAATCAGAAGGGCTGTTTCATTCACGTGTGAGTACGTGTAGTTCCGTGAGCTTCTCCTTTTAAAGGGCGAGAGAAAGAACACAGGAGGAGACGTGCTGAGGCCTCCTTACCGGGGTCAGACACGCCCTCACATGGGGGAGAGGGGGCGCCTGGCGGGCCCGCTGACGGGGGCCCCACCCACAGCCAGGGCGCCCTATGACCCTCCCGCTCCCGCTGAGTGAGGCGGGGGAGAGAACGTTCCGGAACCGCATGGCTCCCGGGGTCCCTGGAGGCCACGAAGGGCACAGGTGACGGTGCAGGAACGACAGATGCTTCCTGGCTGCACCGTGTCTGTAGGAGGCGGGTTTCTTGGAGAAACCCGGGGGGGGAGGTGTTTGTAAAATGCACATGAAAAGGAGAGACGTCCCTGCGGCGAGGGGAGGTTTGGAGAAGGGGGTGGGATAGGTTTCTACCTGCACTAAGTTTTCAGCTGGTCCCCAGCAGAAACCTGAGATCGGGCTCATCCGGCTTGTGTGCAGGGACTCGCTTCTCCGGGAAATAATTAGTGAGCACAGAGGCGCCCCTCTTTAATTCTGGGAGAACCACTGAGACTCCTCTCCCCGGGGCACAGCTTTAAAGCAAGGACATTGCCAGCCAGGAGAGAGTGGGGACGACCTTGCGAGCAGCCATTACAATTTAATTTTGAAGTTTCATTCTTACTATTTTTCAAAAGAGCATAAGGACACATTTTAAAAGCTGTTTCCTGCGTCACTAAAATAAATAAATAAAACCACCCCCTCACACCAGTGTGGGTTTTTTTCTTTTTAAAGCCAGGGTTATGTAGAAATATCTATAGTCTATAAATAAATATGAGACACATTTAACATGCCTTAATCTTATTTCATGGGATCATGATTTTTGTTACTATCTGTAAGGAGTGCTACTATCCCAAATTGTATTTTACAGTGCGCTGGCCACGCCAAGTTCCTCCACGTAACACTTTCTGCCTGGAGACAAAATGTACATGGATTTATATGTCCTTCAACATTTATTTTTGCTTTTTTTTGACATCCATGTCAACCCCAAGGAAAGGAGCAATTTCATTTTAAGCTTTTTTCTCCAAGTTTTGACGTTTTCCTGTTAATATGTAGTTGGAACACTTTTTTCAAGATCTGGAACGTGCAATATTTCTTAGTACAGAGTAATGACTCAGTTTGTATTTGTTAAAGAAAGAAATCAACAATTTATAAATCACTATTGAAAGCAGTCATTGAGACCCCGGTTCGGGCTTCCCCCAGAGGTGGGATGCTGCCCCATGGTCCTGCCAGCTGGCCATGGCGCGTGAAGGTAGAAATACCATCCTCTCAATGGACATGAGACATGGCGTGTTACTCCTAATCCCATCTTTCTCCTAGTTTATCCTCAGAGGCGTCTCCCTGGGAAAGTGCGGCAAAGAAAGAAAGCAACGCCGCCTCCACGCGATGGCCTGGCTGGTGGTTCCGCTGCCGGAGCATCGTCCTGGATGCCAGGAGGGGGGGGTGGGCTCCTGGACAGGCACACACCTGGGTGCGTGTTTCATTCCTGAGCGGGTGCCTGTGGGAGGCAACCAATGGATGTTTCTCTCACGCTGATGTCTCTCTCTCTCTCTCTCTCTCTCTCTCTCTCTAGTCAATAAAGATATCCTTGGGTGAGGATTAAAAAACCCAAAAATCCTTGCCAGTGAGCATTCTCGATGTCAAGGAGAATACTGCATAGCGACAGCAAATTCATGTGCCTGAGAGTGTGAGGACGGGCACGCATCACACCACCATGGGGCACACAGAGGCGTACCTGTGTTTGTAGAGGTAAAACGCAAACCCTGACAAGATTAGAGCGAAGAACGGGACCAGGATGGCGGCGGCGACGGAGCCGCTGCTGGTGCCCAGGTGGCGGTGCACAGCGTCCTGGTCGGAGCTCAGGGCATCTGGAAGAGAAGGGGATACGTCCTCACGCTCACGCTCACACTCACACACGCGGGTACGTTTTATAAAGGGAAGCACGTTCTTCAAGAAGCGGGAGCTTAAGCCCACAAGGACCAACTGGTCCTCATTCGGAAGGACTGCAGCTCATGGACATCTTTCTGACCAGGACCCCGCCCGCCCCCAGAGGCCAGCAGGGCGCCCTATGACCCTCCCGCTCCCGCTCCCGCTGAGCCAGGCAACGGGTCTCACACTCCGACCTGTGCCCGTGGCTTCCGCCACCTGCCTTAGCAGAGGGCACCCTGTGGCCTCGTCTCTGCAGACGCGGGCGCATCTGCTGTCCTCTCCCGTCCTCAGCTCGGACCCGCAGGTGCAGGTCACGGAGGGCCTGGCCGCCCCGGTCTCTGTGCAGAAGGCAGAGCGTCCCCAGCGTGTGAGTGTGTGTGTAGATTCAAAGTCCACGGCAGAGCTCGGGAGCCCTCAGCGGAACGCAGCTCTGCCTCAGCGGGTCTGCGCACACATTTAGTGCTACTGGGTCTTGGCATGAGACAGGTCCTTCAAGCCGCCTCGGCTCAGTGTCCCTTTAGGACACTCCCCTCTTTCCGGTCCATCTACCGGCTGGAGACAATTGAGAGGTCGTTCGTTTTGTCCATAAAACAGGGCTTGGCCCTCACTCGGAACTGAACGGGCGTTTTTCAGTCAATCCTCACACACAGACGTTCCTAGTTCGCTGAGCGGGAGACTCGCCTGGGGTTCGGATCATTCCGTGAAGCACATTGCTTTTCCTGACCATAAGCTCGTCTCACACGAGAATGGAGGTTACGTGGTAAGTCGAGCTGGTGTTCTGTTAGGTTAGAACGCCCTGGGGACACGCAGAGGGAAGTGGCCGTAGCGAAGGGAGAGTCCAGGTCGGGCCATCTGGTGACTGAGCTCCGACACCTACAGAGTCCGGGGGGCCTGCCTGGAAGGAAGTCAGGGGCAGGTGCCCCAGGGTGGGAGGAGGGCAGCTAACGACACGTCCGGGGAGAGCCAGAGAGAATGGGCCCACACTGCTAACACACGCAGTGCCAACGCCTCTGCAGCTAACGCTTCTGCTCTACTCCCCACCGACACATACAGTGGCCCAGCTTGCACAGCATCGCCTACCGAGTCTGGAATGGCGGGGGAATTACAGTATTTTATGGTTAATTAACCTTTCTGATTGGGGTTTTTTTAAAAGTGTGATGACATGCAGGTTGGTGCCTTCCCTTAAAAATCCCTCAGTCTGATAAAGACCTCAGGAGTGGCAAGGAATTCATCCGTGACAGCATCACGAGGTACGACCGCCACGTGCCTCAGGGAGGCGCTGTGCTCCCAGCCCAATGGCCGTGTTCTCTGGCCCATGACCACGCTCAGGGTGCCCCGCAAGGCACATCTATGGCGGCTGCTGCGGTTCAGAGGACACGCAGCGCGATTCATCAGGAAAGTGCGCGCCTCTTCTGTGTCGGCAGCAACGGGAGTGACGGCGGGCTGTCGTGTGGACAGAGCTTGGGCGCCAAGCAAATGCTTGCACCGTCGCCTCATCTTCCCACCCGGGATCCGCTTCCCCGGGGAGCCTGCAGCTGGAGCAGCACTGGGCTCCCCTGGATGCGAGAACAGCGGTTTTCTCCCCTGTAACTCCCAAGGTAAAACTCGAGCAGCAGAGAAGGGATTGAGAACGGAGGAGGGCCCGTCTGTCTGTCCGTCTCCAGTGAGCGTTCCCGCACATATGTCCCGGGCGTCTTTCCGCGGCTGTAATGAAGTCCCCGGAATGAAATCACTGCTTTCTGCTTCGTCTCACACACACCACACGATCACGTGTTGAGGCGATTCCTTCATGACAGATGTGTGCCCTGTTGGAGGTTACTCTTATCTCAACTATTAGAAGCTCCCGTCAGACTCTCCTGAGCAGGCAGAGGACAGCTCTGACCCGTGTCTGTTACAGATGCTAAGGGCGCCCTGGCCGGGCGGCTCGGCTGGTTGGAGTTCCGCCCCCTGCACCCCAAGGTTGTGGGTTTGCTCTCGGTCCGGGCAGGAAGGGAGGCAGCCGACTGATGTTTCTCTCCCTCCCCCCCTCCCCTTCCCCTCTCTCTGAAAATCAACAAAAACATATCCTTGGGTGAGGATTTAAAAAAATTCTAAAGATAGAATTGCTCTTATGGGATAGGTGAACATTGCCCTGATCTGAAGGGGGAGGATTTGTTTGTGTCCTCCTCCTGTACAAAATGGCTAAACAGAAAAAAATAAAATAAAGATAGAATTGCCGGATGAAAGAGTTTTGCCAAATTGTCTGAATCTACTCATCACAGCTCCGACAGCAAACACCGAGGGCCTCTCTCACCCCCCACACGTCTGAAGCCTTTGCCATTTGCTCACTAACCCCCTCCCCTGCCCTCTCTGCGTCTGTAGTATACACTTTCCGTTGCTCTTTGGTGGCGTCTAGCTACCCTGACTTACAATTTTCTTGGCGACCGAGTTCGATGGCTTGTCTGAATGAGCGTTGCCTTCCTCTCTCCCCCCCGTCTTAAACCTCTCCACGCGGCGAGGACATGAATGCCACACCCGTGTCCTCACTGCACCCCCGCTGGGCACCGTCTCCTTGGCGCTCACTCGGCTCTAACACGTGCCCCTGGCTCCCTTCGGTTTTTCCCTTCAGGGGTCCTGGCCTTTCTCATGATTTCTCAGCACAACCCCGCGACGGCCGCCCGGCGTCTCCTTGGAGAGCAGCCCGCAGCTCACCTTGCCTCTCGAGCTTGAATTTCCCGAAGTCTTCCCCTCGGACGTCCCCTTGGAAGGTGAACCCTCCTCTCTCGAGCCCGGAGGAGACCTGGTGGGGGGACAGGAGGGAGAGGCACAGGGGGACTGAGGGCCCCTGTTCCCCCCGATACGGCTGCTGTGTTCTCGTTCAGGGGGTCACAGGCCTTCATGTTCGCCGCTCCTCACAGTGGCACTTTCCTAGTCACCCTCTCACACATACGGCTGTGAGTTCAACGAACAGACACGTCCCACTCCCCGTGGCCTCCCACGGGGTGGTAACTGTACAACCTATTCCCCGGCCAGCCACCCTGTGCAGGGGACAGACACCGGTTCCCACAGAGCCCCGGGGCCTACACTCGCTTCCCGCCACGACCGAGGGCCGGTGAGCAGCAGGCGAGGCTGCGTGCCCGTCAGGCAGAGAATCAGGGCACAGCTGCTAACTTGCAAAGAAGCTACGGAGTAGCCCTGCTCGTCTGGCAGCGGCATTGCTAGGACGTTCTGAGTGGCCGCCAAAGGCCTCGGGAGGAGCTGGTGGCCACTCCCAGGGGCGCGGCGGCAGTGAGCGCAGGGTCTGGTCTCCGCCAGGCGCTGCCCGGTCCGGTCCCCGCAGCCACAGCCCACGTGCTCCGGGCCCAGCAGTTTCTGGTCTGGGGACTCGGTTTCTTGCAGCATCAAGCGAGGGCCCGAGGGCCACCGTGCTGATTCCCGTCAGAGGCCTCTCATTATATTAACGTTGGAAACCAAAGCGGATGGGCCGGGTCTTCAGCACAGACCCTGCCGCACGGCTCCTCTCAGACGCGTCCCCTGCCCCGCACCTCTGCAGTCAGTGACACTCAGAACTGGCGCCCTGCCCCCCGCCCCCCACCGCCCCCCACCACAGGGACCACTTACGTAGCCGTCCAGGCCCCAGGGTTCGCTGTCAAACTTGCTGACAAACACGTCTGCGGGCCCTTTGGTCTGGAAGGCCCTCAGCAGTAAGTGGGCCTCCTCCTTCTTGTAGACGCCTGGAGAGAGCACAGAAGCACCATGTTTCAGGGGCGCACACGGGCCAGGGCTTCAGGCAGGCGACCCCGGAGTGGAACACGGTTCAGCGGTGACAAATCACAGAGGAGGGAAATTGTGATTTTAAAATAAGTTGTTATTGATTTCAGAGAGAGAGGAAGGGAGGAGAGAGGAGAGAGAAACAATGATGGGAAAGAGAAACATCGATGAGCTGCCTCTTGCGCGCCCCCTATTGGGGATCGAGCCCGCAACCTGGGTATGCGCCCCGACTGGGAATCGAGGTCCCGGGGCCACGCTCAGTCCCCTGAGTCACACCAGCCCAGTTATCTTTTTAATTTTAGCTCCCCCCCCCTTTTATTCCCCTTAGAATCACTTCTTATTAAGGTCTTGTCTATCTTGAATGTGTAGAGTCCACTTCCCTTTGGTGAATTACAACAGCATGTGTACCCACAGGAAGAATAACAGGTATATGCTTTCAACTATATTACTTTTTGAAATCAAGCATTTTAACATTTATACTGTGCTCACTGCTGAGGACAGGGGTATAACCATAACCCCACACCAGCCACACAGAAAGAGGCATTTCCCTGACTGAGATGACCTGAGTGGCACCACAAACACAAATCTCACATCCTTGACTATGTGCCTGATCTTGGGCGAATTCATCGACTTTTCTGTACTGGTTTGTGATCCTTTGGTAAAAATAAATTTGTATTGATGCCAGAGAGAAAGGAAGGAAGGGAGAGAGAGATAGAAACATCCATGATGAGGGAGAATCATTGATCGGCTGCCTCCTGCATGCGCCCCACTGGGGATGGAGCCCGCCACCGGGCCTGTGCCTTGACCGGGAACGGAACCCTGACCTCCCAGTTCACCGGTTGATGCTCAGCCTCTGAGCCACGCCGGTGGGACTGGCTTGTGACCGTTAAGTTGCCCGGCAGGTCCCAGAGCTGACCCGAGGCGGCACAGGGAGCCAGCGCCGCTCCGTGAGGGGTCGGGCTGCCGCTCACGCCGCGGTCCGCCTGTCAGTCACCCTCGGCCGCCTACCTGTCAGCTTCAGCTCCGCCTGCGAGGCTGCGGCGAAGGTGGCGTTCACCCGGCTGCGGGTGGCGTTGAAGCTGTCCACCGTCAGCGTGGCCGGCTGCCTCTGCCCCAGGTACTCATAGTGCCCCTTCCACACGGAGCCCACGAAGAACACGTCGGAAGGAACTGCGGGCGGGAGACACGGGGCGTGAGCGGCGCAGAGCGGTCAGCGTGGGTGTGACGGCCGGGCAGGCGGCGTGCTCAGGGCGACGCACAGACAGGGACGAGGGTGAGGACGGTGACCCCAGGGCCCCGCCCCGTGCGGCAGGTGTGAGACCAAGTGCACCCGGGCGGGGCCGCTGGGAGGGGCCAGCTCGCGCCTGCACTTCGGGGGGGGGGGGGGGGGGAAGGAATATTCCAGATGCCAAGCCGCTGGCGGAGGCGGAGTGTGCTGAGGCGGCTCAATGGTTAGAGCTTATCGGGCTTAATAAGAAGTGTGTTAAACTGACCGTGAAATCGCGGCTGATATTTTAGAGCTTCCAGCTCCACGGTGAAGGGCAGGGGGCTCAGAGGGGCTGACAGTGACAGGGGTCGGGTCTCCTGCCCTCACAGCCTGAGTCTCGCAGCCCCGCTCAGACATGACGGGCCCATTAGGAGGCCCCGGGCTCTGCTTCCTGAAGTCTTTGCACACTGAGCCAGCCGCTCTCACCACCCCCACCCTCCCCTCCCCCGTCCTCTCCTCTCTTCCCCGTGGTCAGAAGTCAGATCCAATGGTGTCACATACTATATGTATCTATATGTGTACACACACACACACACACACACACACACACACACACAATTCAGGAAGAAAGGCAAAACGTCTTAAAACTTTAAAATTCACCTCGGTCAGGGGAACTGGCAATGATTACTGAAATATTCTCTTTCCCCCCACTGGTTATGAACGTTAAACCTACTTTTTCACATTTCTGCCAGCAGACGTGCATGAAACACGCCACTTTCACATCAGACGACACTCCCGGCAGCTGCTGCGAGCGGGGCCGGACTGGGCCGTCTCCCTGGCTTCCTGTCCAGGCGGGCCCACGCAGGTCATTACAGGAGACCCACCGTGAGTGGAATCCCCCGGAACGCACCGTTTCACTTAATCCACTCGGCGCAGGTGGGGACCCTTCTGCAAGTGCCACTCGGACATTTATAGCATCACTCCGGGGCCATACAAAACTACCCCCTTAAAAACGGGCTGCTCTGTGCGGGCCAAACATTGACCTCCCTCACCCTGATGCCTCGGCAGGGCCAGGCCACATGGTTTCATGGGTCTCACACGGCCCGGGGCCAGGACGGACCCCATCCCTGGCTTAGAGCTATGCACGCCGAGGACACTGAGCCGTGTTCCTGCTTCGCTCACTGTCCACTCGGCCGTTTCCCATCTTCCCGGACAGGCGGCCCCTGTCAGACACAGCCCACAGCACAGAGGCCCGAGCAGGACAGAGGGCACCACGGCCATGGCCCTGAGCAGACTGCCCTCCTGACAATGACCCCCTCAGGAGTTAAACAGATCCAGGCGGAGGTGTCCACACGGGCGCTGAGGCCTCTGAGCAGGGACCTCGATCGCTGCCTCCTCCACCAGCAGCCGCAGGGCCCGGCTACCCAGCCCACCCACGTGACTATGTTTCCTTTGTTCACATCAATAGCCTTTGAAATGGTCTCAAGCCCGGAGGGGTGGCTCAGTGGCTGAGCATCGACCTAGGAACCAGGAGGTCACCGTTCAACTCCCGGTCAGGGCACAGGCCTGAGTTGCGGGCTCGATCCCCAGTGTGGGGCGTGCAGGAGGCAGCCGATCCATGATTCTCTCTCATCATGGATGTTTCTATCTCCCTCTTCCTTCCTCTCTGAAATCAATAAAGATATTAAAAATAATAAGGTGAGATCAAGATGCTTTCTTTCCCTGATGAGATTCGCACACTTGGCGGGGCTGCTTGTCTGACTGTAACCGTTGGCGGATGTTGGCCGGGGAGGGGTGGACAGCCTGGGAGCGCAGCCCGAGCGGGGCTCAGAGCAGCCTGTTTGTCTCCAGGTGTGGCCATTGGTCATGCGAGGACAGGGTCGTTTTGGGTCCTTGTCATCTGACATGTGCGGCCGGTGGCTAATGCAGCAGCAACACGAAGGCGTGTGAGACGGCGTTGCCGCGATAAAGACCCCATTTCAGCAGCACTTCCCTCCGCGGGAGCGAGGTCAGGGGTGGCCATGAGCAGGCTTGCACCCCCGCCACCCCCATAGAAAAGGGTGCCGATAGCTCAGTCTCTCCAACCAAAAACAAGCCACGGAAACAGCACCGACCACCACAGACCTCTCCTCCTGGGAGGCGCTGCTGCCTGGACAAGGAGCATGGGTTTCCGCACTGTATTTGTAAATAACATCTGAACAGAATGGCCCAGATTTTTTTAGAGTAGTTTTCATGCCTCACGATGGACATGGGAGACATTCCTTTCATCCTGTGGGGCATTCTGCCTCGTCTGAGGATAGTGTGACACAGCCCTGGCTAAACCCTAGCCTTACCCGCACGGGCCACTCACAGCCGCAGGGGAGCCCTGCGGGGATCCAGGTCCAGAAATCAGGGTTAAACTGGAGCACGGAGAACTCTGGGAAAGCGGCCCCATGGCCCTTGATCTTTTATTATTTTTTTAAATATATTTTTATTGATTTTAGAGAGGAAGGGAGAGGGAGAGGGAGAGAGACAGCAATGATGAGAGAGAATCATTGATTGGGTGCATCCTGGGAATCGAGCCCGCACCCCAGGCATGTGCCCTTGACCAGAATTAAACCTGGAACCCTCCAGTCCACAGGCCAACACTCTATCCACTGAGCCAAACCAGCCGGGGCTGGCCCTGTATCTTTACAAAGAGGATCTATTCTGTTTAAAAAGCTTGACTTACAGTACAATCTGGGCACATCGTATTGCTTAAATATTCCCTAGAGTTACAAGAGGGGAGGAGAGGCGGCTGATGGAGGCGGAAGGGACGCCTGTCCCCGGGCACGGCCTGCGTCTCTCCGATGGGCCTGGTCGCGCGTTGGGCAGGCACCGCACGCAGCACAGAGCGCCGGAGACCGAGGACGCCTGGACCCTGGAGGCGCCTGGGAGGACTCGGAGCGGCACGCCTGGACTGCTCGCACCCCGCCCGCGGCCCCACGCCTCACTCACGCCCGCGCCCGTGGGCGGCCAGGGTGGCCACCCTCTTTAGAAGGCTCTCCATTATACCACAGGCTCGCGCCAAATTTGTCCTTTGCTGCCCATGAGGTGCCCGAGGCACCTTCGCACGAACCCCCGTGCTGCTGCCACGGGCTTGCCTGTGCGTCTTGTGATGCCCCTGACCACGGAGTGACAGCGTTAGAAACTGGCGTGGCCTTGGCGTTGGCAAGGATTGAATCGTGCCCGTGGTGGCGGGCTCAGGGCATCGGAAACTGTCAAAATGCGCATCCCTGGGCCGAGCGACGCGCTGTGTGTGACCGCGACCTGTCCCTGGTCTGGAATACAAACCTGGCGTTTTAGTAACTGTGTCATTAACTCCTCTCACTCCTTTACCTACAAGTAAAGAGACAAACTGTCATTTTCAAGAGCATCGATTTGGGAATAAGTTTGAAAAAATGTCAAATGGAAGCAGTTTTCTTGCTCTGGATTTCCTGTGTGTACAAAGTCAGCTCGTCTCCTCCGTATCCATGGTAACCCTTCTGTGCCCAGCAGAATGTCCTGCTGGAAACCGGGGGGCCTGGCACGTGTGTTTGCGTTTCTGTGCTACAACAGAGAGCCTTGCAAATGAGGGTGGTTCGTCCACCTCTGACTCCTGTTTGGGACATGCTGCCTGCCCCGCACCCTGCCCCCCAACCCAAAGGTTAACAAAATAGCTAAGATTTCATAACTCCCCTTAACTTATGCATCCCCACCGCATCCATGAACCTGCAAGTGAATGTTAAATATTAAATACCACCAAAGTATGTCTCCTGCAGAAGGTTTAATTTGGTCTATCAAGTTACATTTAGCTTAGAATCTCTTAGCGTTTCTAGTTTTGTGTCAAACTACAAATCATTTTTAAAAGTCTGTCTACTTCTATTTCTGAGAGAGAAAGGCCAGGAAAAGTGCCCTAAGGATTCCTAACTGCAGGACTCTAAGCTCCAGGAAAGGAGCACTGAGGGGTGGGCTCTGTCACGCTCCCTAACCCTTCTCGATGGTGGTTGGCACTCAATGTGCGTAGAACCTAAGTAGGCGGGGAACCCGGAAGGTGAGCTCTCATCAAGTCTGACCCAGAATTATGACTCTCATTTGTAAATATGCAAATTTGTGTGCGATTAGTGCATCATTTCCATGTTAATAGCTTTTGTAATTTCAAAGGTAGAACCAGTGTCAAGAACACATAAACTCATATTCCACCCCCAAACAGCTTGTGGTCTTTACACTCACAGGGTCTGGTTTGATATAAATATAGTACTTGGTGACGTCTGTCCCTTTTCATTAAAAGATACATTTTCCAAAAACATACATTATCTTCCTTTTAACTCGCCATGCTTCTCTTCAACCAAATCGCTTTTCTCTTTGGGTGAATGTGTGATTCGCAGATCATAACATCTGCGTCTGCCCTCGGCCTCTGCCTCTGTAGCCTCACACACGTCCTGCACACACGTGCACACAGGCCCACACGGGAAGCACGGAGGGTCGGGGGCTGGCGCCCGGGAGCTCACACCCCACACCGGCCTGATGGCGCCAGCGTTCCGCTCTGCCGCGCGGGGAGGCCTGTCCGCCTCGTCCCCGAGGACTTACTTTTACAGACGGGCGACTTCCCGGTCCACTTGAGATCGGCCTTGCACGTCCTGTGCTCAGAGCCGCCGGCCAGGAAGAAGCCCGGGTGGCAGGTGTAGACCAGCGTGTAGCCGAAGGCGGGGAGCTCGATGGCTCGCACGTCCGCGTGGGCCGGCGTCTCGGGCTGTCGGCAGGCGTGAGCTGGAACGGGATTAGTTCTGTTAGGACACGGGAACCCTGGCTCGTGAAGAAGGGAACATGTGTCTAGAGAAATGCAGAAGCAGGGCACCCGTCTGGGAATGGGCATGCAGTCACTTTACAATTAAAACTGTGAACACGGTATCCCCCGAAATACCAACAACATCCCGTCTCCCTCTGCGCTTCCAGCAGAATGAAGGCGGGGTGCCCGCTCCCGCCTGCCTCCCCTCCCCCTCTCCGCCCCGTCTCACTCTCTGCTCTCTTGTTCTCTGTCTCCCCACATAAAGTAGGCTTACAGTTGTGAGCACGCAAAACACCATTTCCTTTTGTATTGTTATTCGTTAATTATTGTGCCTTTTTCATACAAACAACTGTAGACCTACTGATGCCAACTGCCATACACACATATGAATGTCTTCCTTCTACAGATGCATGTGTGATTACTACGTGTAGGAAATTAGACTAGAAACCAAAGCTTTGAAATACACTGATCACATTTGGTTACCGTTAAGATAAAGACTATGTTAAATTTCCTTAAAAGACCAGTGCTATGAAAAAAACACAAATAAATGGACATGAGTTTAGACATGCCTTGATTTTTGTCTGAAGGCAACTAGCAAATTTACTATTTAGTTAAATAAAAAAAATAACTTTGGCCCGGCCAGTGTGGCTCAGTAGCTGAGCATCGACCCATGAACCAGGAGGTCACGGGTGGATTCCAGTCAGGGCACAGGCCTGGGTTGCAGGCTCCATCCCCAGTGTGGGGTGTGCAGGAGGCAGCTGATCCGTGATTCTCTCTCATCACTGATGCTTCTATGTGTCTCTCCCTCTCCCTTCCTCTTTGAAATAAATAATTACACACACACACACACACACACACATATATATATTTTTAAAAAGCACACTTTAAACATTCCTGTCATTTATGGGGCATATTCCCTCAGCAGTTTGCCCCTTGCCCAGGGGAAGGAACCCTAGTAGGAGCCATAGAGCGGTGCCAGCAGGCCCGGCTTCCCTCTGTGACGTCCCTACAACGCTGCCCATTGGAGTGAGGGAGAGGTGGCTCCTCGGACCGCAGGTGCCTAGGGAACACCTGGAGGGCCAGGTGACCCTGCCCTGTCCGCCTCCGGCCACCCAGCCCTGGGGTATCACTCAGCAGGGCTGGGCCAAACCCCCAGGGAACGCTGCCGCCCCTGGTCCCAGTGAGTCGAACTCGGAGAACCCTGGTGTGGGAGTGACAGACGCTCAAACAGACACGAGGAGCCCCCCTCTGCCCCCCGAAGCTGAGCACCTCCCGGCATCGGGGCTGAGGCCGGGGGCCCCACTTACGGATGCACTCGGTCTGGATCCCGCTCCACGTCAGGTTGGCGAGGCAGGTGCGCGTGGTGGAGCCCTGCACGTGGTAGCCCTTCCTGCACCTGAAGAACACGCTGCTGCCCACCTGCCGGGAGACGGACGCTCAGATGCTCACGCTCCCCAAGAGCCGCGGCTCAGCCGACACCGAGCGCCAGCACCCGGGAGCCTGCGGCTCAGCCGACACCGAGTGCCAGCACCCGGGAGCCCACAGCTCAGCCGACACCGAGCGCCAGCACCCGAGAGCCTGCGGCTCAGCCGACACCGAGTGCCAGCACCCGGGAGCCCACGGCTCAGCCGACACCGAGCACCAGTACCCGGAGGCCCGCGGCTCAGCCGACGCCGAGCGCCAGCACCCGGGAGCCATCAGCTCAGCCGACACCAAGCACCAGCACCCAGAGGCCCACGGCTCAGCCGACACCGAGCACGAGAGGCACGGTTTCCATAGGAACCGAGAGCAGCTGCTCCCGTGGGAATGGTGCACAGTCACCCCGGTTTCGGCAGCTAAAACCCCGAGATCCATCCTGCCTGAGTGAGTTTCGTGTGGGCAAACATGGCATGAGACATGGCACATGGAAACATACGCTTATGTGTAAGGAGCAAGCACCTGCTGTCCTGACAGAACGATGCCGTGACACAGAAAGGCCTCACCTCGTAGCCCCTGGAGCTGTTCTGTATTCCGAAGTGTGGGGTCCCCGGGTCTGGGCAGGTGTTGTGAGCAGGATCTGAAATTTACAATCACAAACTGAAAACGGGGCAGGACACTAACCGGCCGCACATGATCGAGACAACTGCCTTTACACACACGTGCGCGATGCTTTGTGTGCACACTGCTCTTTCCACCTTCTGTTCAGACGTCTTTTAGATAAGGGTCTCTCGTGCTTTATCACCCACAGTCTTATCAGCATAGCGCCTGCTCCGTCCTTGCCTGGACACGGTCTCTCCCCGGACCTCCTATCCCGGCCGGTTAATAAACTCCATCTCCCACAGCCACCTGCGTGGCCCGGGCTTTAAGGAGTCAATCAGTGGCCGCTCCTCCATCCTCCGTGACGTCCGTTTACTTAAGTCAATTTTCCTCAAAACGGAGGATGCGTGTTTGATGCTACAGGACGGAAGCCCGTGGCAGACAACGGTGGCATTTTCCTGCCGCAGGACCTGGGCCATCAGGGAACGTGGACGCTCTTCAACTTGCTTCCCTCCAGTTGCTCGTGGGAAACTTAAAAAAGTGTTTTCAGACGGCGCCGTCTCAGGGGAGAAGCATGTGTTCAGCAGACGGAGCGCTACCGTCAGCAGCACGGGAAGCGAAGGGCAGTGAGCCTGCCTGGGGGAGGGGGCCTCAGCCGTCGCTTGTAAGTAGATGTTGCTCTGTTTCCGAGAGAACGACCGAGACTGTCTGTGAATCAGGAGCGGCTCCCACGGCCCGCAGGCAGCAGCCTGTCCCCTGCAGCGGGGGCCCCCGGCCATGCCCTGTGCCGACGGCAGTGGCCCGAGTGGGGAGTCAGGGGCTGGTGTCCACGCCGCTCACAGGAACAAATGCCATCTCTACCCCAGCCTGCCCATGCGGCGGGGTCACCCCACACCGGGGACGGGGGCGCGTAGAAGGTCTCTTCTGTTGCAAGTTTCGCTCCCATTCCCTGAGGTCACCAGGACCTGAGTGCCCACGTGACCCTGGCTGTCATCGCTCACAGCCCAGGGGTTCCACAGGGACTCAGTGGGGAGACAGGCAGGCGCTGGGACGGGAGAGCAAGGGCGTGGCTGGCTCTGGGCTGTGGCTGCTTCCAGAACCGGAACCTGACACCTGCCGGGAAGCTGGGGTCCCCTAAGGAAGGCCACTGCCAGGTGATGAGCCAGGGGCGGAGACTGGGCAAGAGAGCCCAGCTGGGCTACCAGCACAGCGCGGACGGGGGCTCCCAGTTCATTTGCACGATTTAACAGAGGTGCCACCTACCCTGTGGGTCTCTACCCAGGGAACCAAAGGGCACAATCCAGGAGACACTGCCCTCACAAATGACCCGGTGGTACCCGCCATGTCCTCACCCCAAATGCCCAAGAGCAGCGCAGTCCTTACCGATGCAGGCGGGCTGCACGCCGCTCCACGCCCCGTCAGCCTGGCAGGTCCTCCGGGGAGAGCCCACGAGGACGAAGGGCGGCCGGCACTGGAAGGAGACCTCAGACTTGTAGGTGAAGCTCTTGCCGCTGAGCCGGCCCTCCACGGGGGTGCCCGGGTCTCCACAGAACACAGCTGGTGGGATAGCACAGGGTCAGCGCGGAGGTGCCCCGGGCTAGGTGACCGCAACCCTCACCCCGCTCTGCTCTGCCTTCGGGTACAACCATCAGGTCAGTAAGCGGCTTACAGGACAGAATCCGCCCGGCTGCGTGGCTCAGGGGTTCAGTGCCAACCTATGAACCAGGAGGTCACGGTTCGATTCTGGTCAGGGCATATGCCCCAGTTGCGGGCTTGATCCCCAGTGTGGGGCGTGCAGGAGGCGGCTGGTCCATGAGTCTCTCATCACTGATGTTTCTCTCCCCCTCTCCCTTCCTCTCCGACATCATGAACATATATTTTAAAAAATAAATGAAGGGCAGAACCTGCCCTTGGGCAGTGGCAGCTCCACTTGGACATTGCACTGTCCCCGCCTGGTCATCAGGGACACATGGCCGCGTCCTCCATCGTCACCCCAGGTGCTCACGCCCCTGCGGATGCAAAGGGGACCCGCGGGGGAGGGTTGTGGGGGGACTTACGCAGGCACTGGGGCGTCTCCCCCTTCCACACGCCCGGGCCCTCGCAGGACAGGATGGCAGGGTGCGACAGCTGGTAGCCGGCTGCGCAGCTGTAGCTGATGCTGGCGCCCCAGCGGAAGTCGGTGCCCTCCACTTCTCCGTGCGGGACGGGGGGCGGCGGGCTGCACAGGACGGCTGCCCAGGAGGAGAGGACACAGGTCAGACCAGCCAGACCAACCCCATGGCTGCACGCCCGTAAGATCCACGCTTTAACATGACCTGAATTTCAGGGGACGCCTACATGCAGTCGTTTAAGTTTTAATAAAAGAATGATTGAGGGAGACAGTACATCCGATCGATACAACCTTTCCCTAATCTCTCTTCGTTAATTTAGATCAAGGACGGAGAAGCGAGGCCAGCGCACCATCAGGAGAGTGATTGGAGGTGACGTGAGCTCGGTACACACTCGGCCACGGACGGAAGGAACATTCCCATCCAATTAGTCTTTCCGAGAAACAAGCTCAGGGACTGCACCAGCGACTGGCTACTTTGATTTTTAATAGTGGGATGTATACATTTTAGTATCATGAATGTTTTCCAATCATTTTGCAAAAAAAGGGAAAAAAGAAATAGAAAGTCATGTAATCTGTCATTTGCAAATTTGTTTACAAGCATTCCTAGTGCATAGAGGGACTACGCTCATGCAAGACAGAGTGAAGCGCAATTCCACAAGCACTTCCCTGGGTGAGACTCACCACGCACAGGGACCCACCTCTGCAGACAGGTCTGCTGTGGCTCCAGGCGCCGTCCCCCATGCAGCGGAGCGTGGCCCCCGAGGCCGGCTCCAGGATGTGGCCGGGGCTGCACTGGTAGCTCACGGTCTTGTTGAAGGTGAAGTCGGTGCCGAATTGGATGCCGTTGGCTGGTGTGCCCGGATCTCCACAGCTGATGACTGAGATGCCGTAACAAAGCAGAAGCCGAGAAACACAATGAGCATGGGATTAATTAGAACTGTCTTCTAGGCAGCCCCTCCCCTCAGTTCCACTCAGAGTGGCTCCTCCATGAGTGGTCACAGCAGGGTGTTCTCTGGCCATTCCATGGACCAGTGTTTGGAGGCGCTGATTTCTATCCCATCGGTGCCTGGTTGGGCTGAAGATATGCCATCCTGTAACTCCCTAACCCTAACCCTAACCCTAACCCTAACCCTAACCCTAACCCTTACCCTTATCCTAATCCTAACCCTAATCCTTACCCTAACCCTAATGCTAAACCCTAACCCTGATCCTGACCCTAATCCTAACCCTAACCCTAGCCCTTACCCTAACCCTAATGCAGAACCCTAACCCTAACCCTGATCCTGACCCTAACACTAACCCTGTTACCCTACCCCTTACCTAAAACCTAATACTACCCTTACCTTAACCCTAACCCTGATCCTTACCTTAATCCTAACCCTGCCCCTAACCCTAATGCTGAACCCTAACCCTGCCCCTGCCCCTGCCCCTGCCCCTGCCCCTGACCCTAACCCTGCCCCCGCCCCTGCCCTTGACCCTGACCCTAACCCTGCCCCTGCCCCTGCCCTTGACCCTAACCCTGCCCCTGCCCCTGACCCTAACCCTGCCCCTGCCCCTGCCCCTGACCCTAACCCTGCCCCTGCCCTTGACCCTAACCCTGCCCCTGACCCTGACCCTAACCCTGCCCCTGCCCCTGCCCTTGACCCTAACCCTGCCCCTGCCCCTGACCCTAACCCTGCCCCTGCCCTTAACCCTAACCCTGCCCCTGCCCCTGACCCTAATCCTGCCCCTGCCCTTGACCCTAACCCTGCCCCTGCCCCTGCCCCTGCCCCTGCCCCTGCCCCTGACCAGGCAGGGGTGTGATCTCACCACAAAGCCAAGGAGAGAGACAGTCTGTGACCAGAGGGCCCGACTCCTTCCTCCTTCCCTGCAGACTCGGTGGTCCACAGAGAGAACATGCCTTGACATTTTGTGGCCTCAGTTGGACAATGTCCAGCCCAGCTGGCCACTTAACATAGTTTCAACCATATAAACAAGAAAGGAAAGAATCTAAAAGTGTCAAATACATAAAGTCAAAACATCAAACCTCTGTGTCTTTCTCTATGTTTTAAGATCACAGTACAGCACTTGGAAACATAAACCTGCTGCTCCCGGTCAAGTGCATATCATGGCCCTGCCCTTGAGTTGCCCTTGACGGTCAGTTACTGACTTGTGCAGTCGGGAGCGGTGCCGGTCCAGGTCCCGTTGGCAGTGCAGTGCCGGGTGGTCAGCCCTGAGGTCCGGTAGCCCTCCCAGCAGGCGTAGACCACGGAGCTGGAGAACAGGATGCCATCACTGCTGACGATCATGCCGTTGGTGGGCGTGCCGGGGTTCCCACAGGACACAGCTGCAAGGGACATGGAGCAAAGACACAGAGTGACATCCCTGAGGCAGTGAGTGCGGGAGACAGAGGGGCATCAGAGCAATGGATGAGGTCATTACTAAAAGACTAGAGGTCCGGTGCACGAAATTCATGCACAGGTAGGGTCCCTTGGCCTGGCTTACGATTAGGGCTGATGTGCGGGGATACAGGAGGGGTGATCGGGGGTCCCCACTGGCACCTGCCTTGGCTGGCCTGGGGCCTGTGGGCAGCTCCTTCGGTGAGGGTCTGCCCCCTGGTGGTCAGTGCGGGTCATAGCGACCAGTCATTCTGCCGTTCGGTTGATTTGCATATTAGGCTTTTATTATATAGGATAACAGGGCCTGGCTGGAATGGCTCAGTGGTTGAGTATCGACCCATGAACCAGGAGGTCACAGTTCCATTACCCATCAGGGCACATGCCTGGGTTGTGGGCTCAATCCCCAGTGTGGGCCGTGCAGGAGGCAGCCCATCAATTATTCTCTCTCATCATTGATGTTTTTATTTTTTCTCTCCCTCTCCCTTCCTTTCTGAAATCAATAAAAATATATTTTTAAAAAGTGATGAAGATATATTATAAGTAGAAATTCTTTGATGTTTAAGAATTTTGAGGTTTTTGTTTTGAGACTCACGAACTCCTCCTTCTTTTAACAATTTATTGAACCTGCCTGTCGGGGCCTAATGCTTCTGGGGAGCTCTGAGAAGACACTCTGGCCGCGTGGGAGGTGGCCGGGTGGGGTATGGAGTATATGGTTATGGCAAACGGTTGTGGAAATGAAAACGTCACCGGGAAACACCTTTTCCATAGAAAATATGTGTCCCCAGGATTTGCACCTATGAGAACAAGTGAGAAGAAATAGAAAGCCCCAGAAGGTTTCCAGTGTGTGTGTGTGTGGGGGGGGGGGGCATACTTCACCATCCGTCTCTGCTGCGACTGAGTGTGACACACTCTATTATTGCGCTCCCTCCCGTGGTCTCCAGGCGATGCAGGTTTGGAGGGGTCGAATCTGAGACACATTTTCTGTGCTGAAATGTGCCAGCGACCCGTCCTTCCCCTGCATCCAGCTTTTACACGTTATGCAACAGCACTTTGCATATTCTGCGCTGGGGCCGCTATGCACTGAAACCCAATTAAGCTCTTAAGCGAATTGCTGGGCTCGCTTACGCTTTCCTGAAACGGAACTCCGTGTCATCTCCCCCCGAAACGGGGTCGCGGGGGACACATGCGCCTCACTGTTCTCATTTTCCACCTCTCAAATCTGCAGAGCGCGACCGTGCTCGCGGGAAACCCAGTTTAGAACGTCCCGTCCCAGCGAATGGCCATCCTGAGCAGCATCTGGGCGAGGCGTGTGGCGCTCTTGGGAGCTATATTTTCCCACCAAATTTGGTTCATTTATAACCAAAAATTTTTCAAATACTGTTCTGCCCCATTGTTACTCTCTTTTTTCTTCTAAACTCCAGGTACAGCGCGTTACACTGCTCGATGTTCCCCGGCAGTACATTATCCTGCCATGAGCTTTCCTCTGTTTTACAGATTAAATGATTTCCCTTCGCCCGTCTTCAAGTTTAGTGACCCTTCTGCCAATTCTCTCTGTTGCTAAGCTCACCCAGCAAAGTTTTTTTTAATATGAAATATGTATCTTCAGTTTCAGAATTTCCATTTTGTTTTATTTTCTTATTTTCATTTCTCTGTTGACATCCCTTGTTTATGATTCTAACTTAAGTCTTTTGCCATATGTTTAACACCTGCTTTAAGTGTGGGTGTCACTTCCGACATTGGGGTCATCTCAGGGTGAGCGTCTAGCGTTTGCTGGACGGGGTGGGTGTGCTCTGCGTGTGTGTACTGTCCTGTCTGCTGCACAGCGTGGAGGAAACGTGTCGTGGACGATGTCGTTCTGTGACAGGTGCTGGGTTTCGTCCTGGTGGCTTTTCAGTGAGCTGCCGATTGCCCGGGTCCTGTCACCAGTCGCATTCTTTATTCCCGACGCTGAGCAGGTGCAGGCTCCCAGTGCACCGTGCCGGCAGCCAGGCCGCACACGACGCAGTGTCTGCGAAGCACCCCTGGCGTCGTCACTGCCATCACTGGGCCATCTCCCCAAGTCCTACCGGGCCTGCCTCTCCAATGTCACAGCAACACATTCACTCAGAGCAGCACTCAGCACTGCCTCGCTCTGCGGGCAGCGCCGGGCTCCGGCCCAGGGCACGGCGGGCGGGAAACAGCAGGTGGACTGAAACCTATTTCTGCTGCAGAGATTCCACCGGTGGCTTCCACGCCCCGATTCCGGCCCCTCAGCTCAGCTGCCCCCACAGCAACCACAGAGCGTGGCGAGACCGCCAGGGGACTGTCCTCGGGGGAAGACACGGGGCCTCTCGGGTATAAAGGTCAAAGGGTGAGCGTGTTGTCGGAGGCTCCTCTGAACAGTCGGGGTCTCCCCACAGTCAGTCACGTTTCGTAGGAACCTTGTCTACGTTTGGGGAAGCAGCTTCGTTGTACGAATAGCCTGAACCTGCAGGACGTCTGGGCGGCGTTACTGGTTGTTTTAGTGCAGTGATGGCGAACCTATGACACGCATGTCAGAGGTGACACGCGAATTCATTTTTTTGGTTGATTTTTCTTTGTTAAATGGCATTTAAATATGTAAAATAAATATCAAAAATACACGTCTTTGTTTTACTATGGTTGCAAATATCAAAAAAATTCTATATGTGACATGGCACCAGAGTTAAGTTAGGGTTTTTCAAAATGCTGACACGCCGAGCTCAAAAGGTTCGCCATCGCTGTTTTAGTGACTGCGAGGTTCTCACCCCCGGGTGCCCCCGGCTGCAGTGACTCACCTTCACACGCCGGCTGCTGCCCGGACCACGAGCCGTTGAGCAGGCAGGTGCGCTCGGGGGAGCCGCGCAGCAGGTAGCCCACCTCGCAGGAGAAGCGCAGCAGGCTCTTGGCCTTGAACTCGTCGCCCAGCCGGGACCCGTGGGCGGGGGTGCCCGGGTCTCCACAGAATCCAGGGTGGTTTCCTGTGAGCACAGACACACGTGGCCACACACAGGCGGTGAGACATGGGAACACAGGCCGCCGAGTTGAGAGACTGCAACATTATTACATGAGGACTGAACCCGGCTACGGGTATAGGGTGTCTGGCAGCTCATGAGAATGGTTTCATTCTGGCACAGAAATGGGAGACCTTAAGACATTGTTCCAGCCTGGCCAGCGTGGCTCAGTGGTTGAGCATTGACCTATGAACCAGGAGGTCACAGTCTGGTTTCCGGTCGGGGCACAGGCCCGGGTTGTGGGCTGGATCCCCGGAGTGCAGGGGGCAGCCGATCCATGGTTCTCTCTCATCATTGCTGTTTCTATCTCTCTCTCCCTCTCCCTTCCTCTCTGAAGTCAATAAAAATATATTTAAAAATAAACTGTTTTTGTGTAACTAACACAACAACTGGGTGTGGTCCAGGTGGTCGTGGGTGCTGGGGAGGGTCACATGCTGGGAGGGTGCGGGGCTCCGTGGAAAGGGCAGGGTAAATGCGCAGGGCGTGGGCTCGCGCGCAGTGGGGATGCGGAGGTCAGGCACGTGCCAGATCGGGTTCTGTGAATTACATCCAGGGTAGCTGATTCCTGCGTTTTATTTATTTAAGAAACATTCGTGGAGGAATTAAGACGATTACTTTTTTGGGGGAAGACCAATGTGATTATCCATCAGGAGGCAGGGGAGACGTGGGAGGATTCAGAAGAAACACAGAAAAGGGACAAAGAGCAGAGAGGGACTCACGGGGCCGAAGCCACCAGCCGGACAACTGGGCGCCGGGACAGAACAGTGGGCCCCTGGGTGCTGGGACAGAATGGTGGGCCCCTGGGCGCAGGGACAGAACGGTGGGCCCCTGGGCGCTCATGGAGATGGGGAAGAACATGGGGCTGGTACAGAATGAAGGCGTCATTGGCTGGACACCCACTAACCATCCTTTTAAAGCAGCTGCTCCCGACCCCGAATTCCTGCTGCCAGTGCTCACCTGTGCAGTGGGGCAGGGCCCCGCCCCAGTGGCCATCCTCCTGGCACACGCGGCTGTGGTCGCCCACCAGGCTGCGGGCCCCTTGGCAAGAGTAGTGGACCGTGGCCCCGAACGTGAACACGTCCCCCGTGAGGATGGCGTTGGCGGGCACGCCCGGGTGCCCACAGGATATGGCTGAGGAAGATGAATGAAATGATGGGCACCTCCCTGCTCGTCCCTGCCCAAGAGAGCACGCGGTTCCTACACTCACTCCCCTCCCCAGGGCGGGCGTTACAGACACAAGGAAAGGCTCGCCAGTGAGGGTTTCTGGAAATCTTAGATTGGGGTCGCTGTGCTTGGGGTGCACATTCACACTTAGGTTTTCAGAAGGAGAGTCCCCCCAGGTCAACTGCCCGTCGGCCCTTCACGGCTTTCCACACCAGCAGGGCTATCCCACACGTTGTGGCCAGTGTGGCGCCCTCAGAGCTGCTTCCGCGGGTTCTCAGGCAGGTGACCGTCTGCCGGCGGAAAAGACCTCGAATGTGCTCCCCCCGAGCTCTCAAGTCCAGGAAGCCACCCCAACACCTGCCCTTGGAGTGGGGAAGGTCTAAAAGGTTTAAGTCGGCCCTGGCCAGTAGCTCAGTGGTTAGAGTGCTGGGTCTCGGGTTCGATTCCCAGTAAGAGCCTGCACCTGGGTTGTGGGCTCACTCCCGCCCTCAGTCGGGCAGGTGTGGGAGGCAACCAGTCAATGTGTCCCTTTCACATCAATGTTTCTCTCTCTTACTCATTTCCCCCACCTCCCCTCCCCCCCCACTCTCTCTAAAAATCAGTGGGAAAATATCCTCGGCTGAGGATTAACAACAACAACAAAGTAATAATAAAATAACATGTTTAAGTAAAGTAATAATAATAAATTACCGACTGATTTGTTCTTCAAGTTATTCTGCAAAATAATGTCAGTATCCCAGTCACTTTCTACAATTACACCAAATCGGGCCCATAATTATTCATTAATTCTCCCTCAGAAAGCCATATTCTGGGAGCCAGATTAAGACGGGATGGTAGGGATTTCTCTCTCCCTTCCGATCACGTCCCACAGTGCGGTGCACAACGGACACACGGCATGCTGCCTGCAGTCAGCTCTGGGCACAGCATTCAAAGACACCGACGGCCACGAGAGGGACTGCCTGTGGCCACGGGCAGCCCGACGTGATGCCCAGCGGGAGGCATCGGTCAGCCGGCCACATCGGCCCTGGATGGACCCTGGCCGCTGTCATGGGCCAGCAACACGGCCTGTGGTTGGAGAGCACGGACTGATCTAGAGAGTGTCCTGAAAGGAAGCTAACCTGACCCAAGTCAGTGACATGGTCGCTAAGGGGCCAGTTCCCGGGGAATGAGAGAGAAAGGATCAAGGTGAGGAGGAAAGCAGAACCTTGCCGCCGCAGAGCATGGGAAGGCAGGGGGATCCTCTGCGCCTCGCCCCATGCCCATGGGGTCCCACGCTCCCGACTGCTCAGGCGGGGAGCAGCCCCGGAGGCCCAGAACCGGGGAGAACCTGGTTCCTGCAGCTGCAGGGCCATAGGCATCGGTACGGACACAGGGCGTCCCCCGGGAGCCACGGAGGGCTCAAGGGGATGTTCAGGAGAAGGAAAGACATGACCTTCTCTGCCCAAACCCCGGGTGTGGAGGCGGAGAAAGCGACGCCATTGGGTGGAGATGCTAACACAGTGACATTGAAGGGCACTGCTGGTCACGTGAGGCCGTGCATTTGTGTTCCAGCGACCCCTCTCTTTCTCCCAGAAACCGAACCTATGGCCACAGCGGGAACTGGGGACGCGTGCCCATGTGGGTCGGAAGGGGCTGCGTGGGACACTGACTTGCAGGGAAACCCCGGCCCCGATCCATCTGGACACGCAGGAAGTGCTGCCGTTGCAAGTGGTGAGAGGCTACTCATTGGACTGTCTCAGGGACCACCTGTCCTATTGTGTTGACTACTGACTGGACAGTAGTCCGGGGGAGACGCCCCTTTTCCTAATTTTCAGACCATGTTCTAACCAGGTGATCCTCGTTCAGCTCGAGGACAATATGCTTGCTCAAGGAGAAGGAGGTAAAACTGGAGCTATGGCCCCAACTGGTTTAGCTCAGTGGATAGCTCCAGCCTGCGGACTCAAGGGTCCCAGGTTCGATTCCGGTCAAGGGCATGTACCTTGGTTGCAGGCACATCCCCAGTGGGGAGTGTGCAGGAGGCAGCTGATCAATGTTTCTCTCTCATCGATGTTTCTAACTCTCTATCTCTCTCCCTTCCTCTCTGTAAAAAATCAATGAAATATATTAAAAAAAACCCCAACTGGAGCTATGTAGATTAAAAAGTGCTTTTGCTCATCTGCGTGGTCTAAGGTAGTGACCGTCACGTTTCCGGGGGCAAGAGTGGGAACTACCTGTTGGTTTGTGTTCCCCTTCTTCAGAGCGGTGTGCTCCCCCCGATTTAAACACCCAGGTGAGCCAGGGGAAGGACTGTCCCAGGGACCACCTGTCCTATTGTGTTGACTACTGACTGGACCAGAGATGCTCACAAGACCTGAGTCAGTCCCTGGAGTCACTGACCCCTGGTCACAGGCGGGAGGTCACTAGCCGGACCTTCCGTACCAGAGCTCGGCCAATATTGCTCACCCTGGGTCTCCACGGAGAGCAGTGAGAGGCGGAGGGCATTGAGGCTGCCAGGTCTGACCGTGTCCACCGGGGTGAAGCAGGAGACGAGCAGTGTGAACAGAGATGAGGAGAACAAGGCCCAGTGGGTCCATGTCTGCGTCCATTCCCCCCCGGGGCCAGGCGGTGAGCAGCCAGCATCCTCACCCTTATCCCCCTAACCCAGCCTGAGCTATAGTGTGTGACCTCCTGCCCATCGGTAAGACATCCGACTGACTAGTACAACTTGTACCTGGGGACTTGGGGGGTAGAGACCTATTTGACGATGTGACAAAAAGAAACAATAACGTCTGTGCTGTTGACGTTCTTCCCGGATTCTGTGGCACCAGCACCCCACATCACCCTCACGTACCCAAGCACTTGGGGAGGGAGCGGTCCCACAAGCCACTGGCCGTGCAGGTCAAGGCGGACGAGCCCAGCAGGTAAAAGCCCTTCTTGCAGTGGTAGACGACAGTCTGCCCGTAGACGAGGCTCTCAGGGATGCTCTGGCGGGCGGCGTTGTCCACGGAGCCGGGGTCCGAGCAGTTGACCACTGGAGAGAGATGAGAGGAGCCTAAGAGACGCAGAGAGCAGGACCTCCTCCCATGCCCAGAGGCGGCTGCGTGTTCATACACAAAACAGGTGCGAAGAGAAGGAAACTCGCCGTCGTTTCAGAAAGTTCAAAGATGATGCCAGCAGGGCCAGGGCCCTTTCCACAATTCTCCTCGCTCGATGAAATCCACAGCTCATTTCCTTGACCTATTTCCTAATAACAGGCTTCTTCAAGGAAAGTCTAGGATCGGTTTTCATGGTTAAGTTTTATGTTATGAAGATGTTAGCACAGAACCCGCTGAAGTTTGTTTATTTAAATATTTCCCCCCACCAAGTGTGATACTTTAGGGCAGTCTTTGTAAGTAATTAATTACCCTACTTGCACACAGCTTCCACATGCACCTAATGTGAATGGCGCTCAGGGCAGTGAAGATAGGGCTCCAGGGAGTGTGAATGGCACCCTTGGTGGTATGAATGGTGTGCTGGGTGGTGTGAATGGAGCCCTGGTTGGTGTGAATGGTGTGCTGGGTGCTGTGAATGGCGAGCTGGGTAGTGTGAATGGCGTGCTGGGTGGTGTGAATGGCGCCCTGGGTGGTATGAATGGCGTGCTGGGTGGTGTGAATGGAGCCCTGTGGAGTGTGAATGGTGCCCTGGGTAGTGTCACTGGTGCCCTGGGTGTTGTGAATGGCACCCTGGGGTGTGTGAATGACACCCTGGTGGGTGTGAATGGTGCCTCGGGTGGTGTGAATGGCATCCTGGTGGGTGTGAATGGTGCTCTGTGAAGTGTGAATGGCATATTGAGTGGTGTGAATGGAGCTCTGGGGTGGATGAACGGTGCCTTAGGTGGTGTGAATGGCACCCTGGTGGGTGTGAATGGCTCTCTGGCAGCCTGAATCTGCTGGCATCAGGAGGGATGTGCAATGTGTACCCACAGGTGCAGGGGGACAGAAAGTCCCCAATTATATTGCCCTCTGATCCCACTCGGTATGGATGAGGCAGCTGCTGCTGTGGAGGCGGCACCCTCTCCACAGATCTCTGGCCCAGGAAGTCAATGTGGAATAACAATGTGAGCCCTTGCTCAGCACATTAGGCCCAGGTTCCTTAATGCTCAGGGGCAAGGAAGAAGACATGAGGAACAGGAAGGGAAAGGCTGTAGTTTGGGAGGGAAAGTGACCTGTTTCCTGTTTTAAAACAGTAAGCTCTCCCTGGGTGCTGGCTGGCCTGGCACTGCTGCCATGGCCGGAAATGCTGCCCTCAGGACAGTGGCAGGTCTGGCTGCGTCCAGCTCCTCCCTGTCACCCAAGGGCGCCCCCTCTGCTCTGGGCTGCGTCAGTGAGTGCCTGAGTTTCACCGGTGCCTCTGCTTCCTCCCTGGACATCCTGGCCCTGGCAGCCTGCTTCCTGGGCCGTGGGGTTGGGAGGCTGTACCTGGTCACTGAGCTGAAGCCAAGCACTGGGCAGTACCCTGGGGCCAGAACTCCATGGCTCGTAGCCAACGTCACACGGCTGCCACTATAACAACATCGCTGGGCTCCCTTTTGGCTTCGTCGCCTTTGAACAAAGCTCCCTTGGGAGCCCTGGGGGAGGTGGGTGGGTGTCAAGGGTAGTTCATGAGCCCCCGGCTTTCATCCCGTGTCACTACCATGAAACAAACCGCACCTTCCCACTCACATATGACTCACCTTCCATCAGGGGTGTTTTAATGGGAAATAATTGAAGTTGAAACCTTCAATGTTATGAGCTCAAACGTCTAGAAACACAAAACTACAAAACAGCATGTGTTCGGAAACTCTGGCTGTTGCCTAGATCTTTGTGACAATTTTTAGAGAAATGAAGATTTAAAAGCAAGAAGAATTTCTTAAAGAAACAGGAACGCCCCATACATCTAGAAGCCTGAGGGCACAGAGGTGCTGAAAAGATGTAGCGGCAAGTGGGTGAGTGCGTGAATACGAAGAGAAATGGGAGGTGCGTTGTCCTTAAAGTAGAGAACCCCAGGTTTTTTCTGGTTGCCTGCCTGTCCACAGCCAGACACAGGCCGGGAGGGACCTGGTCCTTGCTCTCAGGAGTGTTTCCAGCGACAGGAAGCCCTTCTGCACCTCCAGGGCAGGTTCCCCCCCCTCCCCCCGCCATTTCCTACCTCGACAGGTGGGCAGGGTGCTGCTCCACTGGCCGTTGCTCCGACACTGGGCCTGCGGTGCCCCCTGCAGCACGTAGCCCGTGTTGCAGGTGAAGTTCACCACATCGTTCAGGTTGAACTGGCTGCCGTTGGTGAGGCCGTGGGTGGGGTTCCCAGGGTGCCCGCAGGTGATGGCTGCAGAGGGAGACAGGTCCCCATCACCATCACCAACCAGCAAGTCATCACATCACTGACACACATGCAGGTGTGGAGGGTGTGGGTTCCAGGGTGTGAGCTGATGGCACACGTCCCACATTCTATCAGAAGGAAATATTGGGACAACCCCGCGGGCTGAGCCCTCAGGTTTTATTATAGTAATTCTGGAAAACACATCAGAAAAATGTACCTTCTCCACAATCATAATAATTACTATTTCTAGCTCACATTCTGACAGCATAACAAGAAATTTTCAAAGGCGGCAGTGAAAACATGAGATGCTAAAATTCTTGCACTCATTGTGAGTTTTGACTGTTTTCCCCTTTGAACACCAGCTAATTTGGTGGAACTCTCATTTTGCAATATTATAGGGACTTGTCTGATGCTTTAAATTGTGTGTAGATAAATTAATCCAATATCAATTTAAACATCATGGAATTGGCCAAAAAAGAAAAGGGAGAGAAAAGTGTGCAAGCTCCAATAGCGTTGTCTCTGACCAGCCCATTGTGTGGTTCTGTGGGCTGCAGAGAGCTGTCATTACGTCAGGCCCCGAGTCACAGGGGCACAAAGAGCCTTTCAAAGGCAGCGTTCCAGCCCGAAACTGGTGTTTTCTCCCCATTTATCTTGTCACAATGTTTTCTTCCAAGCGAAGCTTTCACCCTCTGCACTCTCTCAGATAATGCCTGCCACCTCGCTGTGGCTTCATCAACATGCCCTTTAATAAAGAATATGTTAGGGGAAAATGGTTTAAAACAAACTCTGCAGTGAGGGTGCAATCTCTTCTACACGTACGAGTCAATATTTACCTGTGAGGTTATCATGTCTGAGGACTATCATTACATACAATTCACCTCTTTCTATTAAAGAAAGGACTGCGCCCTGTATTCTTGATGAATGGATGACAAACACACAAAGCCACCCGCAGATAGAGGGGGTGGGCTGTGTGGGGACCCGGCAGAGACAGCAGAGCTGCAGGCTCAGCCTCTGTGTCCACATTCGCCGGGGGGTGGGGTCAGGAGGTGCACATGGCCCTCAGCATCCTGGGACGCATCTCCGGGGAGCTGAGGAGCCAGTACCTGTGGACAGGAGTCCGAGGAGGCAGGGGGAGGACACAGAGCGGGGACAGCATCGGCAAGCAAAGAGGAGAGAGAGCTAGATGGTCTGCTTCAGGAGATCTCTCCACGCATTTCGCTCAGAAGATTACCCACCTCTGTGCCCTGACTTAAACCCAAAAGGCACGGTGCAGCGCTGGCCGGCCCGGGCTGGTGAACTCACCCACACACACCGGGGTCTGTCCCGACCACTTGTGGTCCTGCAGGCATATCCGCACGGAGGTGCCCACCAGCCGGAAGCCGGCGTGGCACTGGTACACCACGGTGTCCCTGTAGCTGAAGCCGTCTCCGCTGATGTGGCCGTTCACGATGGGGTCCGGGGAGCCGCAGTGGCCGGCTGCAGGGGCGAGAAAACCCACACCCACGTTCCGGAGACTCTGTCTTTTAAACATTTATTTGTTTGTTTGTTTACTTATTAAATATATTTGTGTTGATTTCAGAGAGAGAGGGAGAAGGAGAAGGAGATAGAAACATCCATGATGAGAGAGAATCATGGATTGGCTGCCTCCTGAGCGCCCCACACTGGGCACCAAGCCCGCAACCCGGGCAGGTGCCCCAGCCGGGAATCAAACCGTGACCTCCTGGTTCGTAGGTCGGTGCTCAACCGGCCGGGCCTGGGCCCAAATCCATCTTTGCTAAAAGCACTACATTCACGTTTGTTGACCTTCATGGTCAGTGGATGACAGCATCGGGGGCGTAACGTACTCAGTGTTTTCCCTTTTCATGTTTCTTGGATATAGTTTTCTTTTTAACGTGTTCGTTTTTCTCAACGACTGTGGGCGACAGAAGTAATATCTCCGAGATGAAGTTGTCGATGGGTCACCCCCCAGCTATGGGTTTCCGAGTTCGTCATGTTACCCACTGTCCTTGTCTGAAGTCCATGTGACCTTGTCCTTCTATTTGCAAATGCAGCCACAGAAAGGAATGGCCGTGGGCTCCACGTGAACAGGCTCAGACCCACGGAAAACGGGCCTTAAAGAGACGGCCGAGGACAAGGATTCCCAGGCCAGAGATTGCTAAACGTTATGCAAGATTCCAACGGCCAGACAGAGTCACAACATCGGTTCCATTTCAGGCACAGACAGCCTGGGCCAACGTCCAGGTGACAGCGGTGTGGCCAGTGGACAAGTGACCTCTGGGCCCGGGGGAGGGAGGTGCCCGCCCCGAGCAGATTCACGGGAAACAAGCCCAGAGGGGGTGAGGCTGTAGGTGGTCCCACTCGTGGGAGAGGAAACATCCGAGATGAATCGGGGGCAGGTTAGCAGTCGGGGGAGGGAAGACCTGAGACAGGAAGGGTCTGAGATGTGAGAAGATGACTGGTGTCCAGTACGCGTCCATGGCGGCGAGCGGAGCCGGGAAGGAGGCCCGAGGGGTTTCACTCTCCTGGGGCTGATGGACGGAGCGGATGGCAGCGGAGAGCAGAGCCCGGGAAGGAGGCCCAGGGTGTCAGCTCTCCTGGGGCGGACGGACGGAGCCGGACGGAGACCCCGGCCTGGCCGCGCTGCCGGCCTCCTGACCCGTCTCCGAGGTGTCGCTCCAGCCCTTTTAAAACACTCAGACCAGTGACTGCCAACTTCCTCCCCCCCGGCCCTCACTCATCCCTAAAACCCCCCGCACTCCAAATAGCATCTCTTTTGCCGACCTGACAACCAAACAGGTGCACTTCCGAGCCCTTCACCCCGGGGGCTGCTGGGGGCCGGCTGGTGTCACTTCCCTATTTGACAATCTCGGGGCAGAGCTCCGGGCCCTACCGAACAGGCAGGTGTCGCACGGTATAAACGTGCTTGTGGCCACGGGGCGAAAACCGCTGCCTTTGACCAAGCCCAGGCTACTCACAGATACAGCATTTCCAGTCTCACCCACAGCATTAGCCAGCGTCTCGGTGACCGCCCAGTGCCGGGGGTGCCCACAGCCCGGCCTGCAGTGTGGCCCCAAGCCTCTGAGCTCCGCCTGGCACGTCAGATCCTGCTCTTCAGTGACCCTGTCACGCTAAGTCCTGGTCTGTTTAAACTCTTCCTCTAGCCCTGGTTTGGCTCTAGATGCCCCACGCAGAAAGCACTGCTCCGCGTCTCCCGTAGATGCCACGGGCCTATATTCACGCTTCTGCCCCGTGTCTGACACCCACCCGTCACCCATGAAACGCCAGGGAGGGAGCAGACAGAGAGTAATTTCACGCTCTCGGCAACGGCCTTCCTGTTCTCGAGCATTTCTAAGCCATTCTCTCCAAGGTGACTGCCATTTACCCGACAAAGATCGAATGGCGACCAGCCACCGCCCAGCAATGTCTGGGGGCCGGAGGCTCCATGGAGAATGAGACGCAATCACAGAGCGACGGGAGCTGAGGGTCTAACATGGAGAGAACGAGATGGAGCGGGAGGGACATGCGGCCACACTCGGCGCCCGAAACCCCGAGAGAGGCGCCCCCAGGCCTGCAGGACACAGGCTACCAGCCAGGCCGGGGGGGAGGGGGGGAGAGGGAGGGGCGGGCGTGAGGTGAGGCCTCCCGGTCACGGAAGTGACAAATGTTATTTATTTTTAAAGTCTCGGACGCAGGGCTCTAGGACCAAGTCCCCCATCTCCTGGGGGGGCGGGGGGGGGGGGAGGCTGCCTTCATCTCCGGCTCCCTCCTGGCGCACCCCCGCTCGGCTCCGCATCGTCCGCTCCGCGGGTGCAGCCCCTTATCATTCCCCTGAGCACAGACAGGAGCAAGGGGGTAAGAAAACCTGCTGACTGGGGGAGAGGAAGAAGATGACGGGCAAGAGAAATCCAGAGGCCAGCCGCAGGCTTAGAAACAAAATATCAAACCAAATCATTTAATCAAATACACCGATGCTCTGCGCAGGCCGCGCCGTGGCCCGAGAACTCGTCTCCCCAGGGACCAGGGACCCCCCTTCCCCAGGAGCGCCCGGCGCAGCGGGCCGCGAGGGTGTGGGCAGGACGCCTGGGAGGGCCCGGGTTCATGTGATCATCCACCCTCCTCAGGGGTTTTTTAGAAAAGGGCCCACAGAGCCCCACGCGTGGGGGGCACTGCCCGCTCTCGGGGCGGGGCCAGCATGGAGCACAGCCGGCCACCCCGCTCGCCCCACCCCTCCCCCGGCAGCAGCCTCAGCACCGGAAACAACTCAGAAGTCACTTCCTGACCTTGCTCTCCGCGGACTGATGGTCACACGTGTCTGCACCCTCCACTCTGCCACCTCCATGGCGACCAGGCCCCTCAGCACAGAGGACAGAGGGGAGCCCGTTCCACAGCCCCGGGAACCACCGCAGAGACAGCACCCTCACCCGGGGTGGCCTTCCCCGGCCAACAGAGGATGGGCCGGGCCCCGCTCGGGGGCTGGGCAGCACCGGGTTGGAGCCGCCTCGGGGCACAGACCCCCCAGCCGTCCTAGGTGGCATCCTGACTGTCCCTCCTCATGACACGCGGAAAGATCTTCTCTGTCACTCACGCTCACCCGTCACTTCCTCACGTGGCTGGCACCCTTCACACGGACGGTCCCGAATCTGTCGCCAATTCTGACTCACTCTTCTACGTGGGGCCTGGGGGCGGTGTGGGATGAAGGATGCAACTCCCCCCGAGTGGGAGGCCTGGGCACAAAGCCCCCTGCGGGCACCGGCCATGGGGGTGCAGCCTGGCGCTAGGGCCCCCCACCTGGCTCCCCAGCATGGCCACCCGCTGGCCAGAGGGGGCGCGATGGCACACAGACACCTTCCTCCATCTTCCTCCGAGAGAAAGGTGCTGGCAGCGCAGCAGGACACTCGCTCCCCTCGTCGTAGCCCCAGCCCAGAGCCTGTTCTGTGGATCCACTGCCTGCGCTTACCCTGTGGGGGCATTTCTCTTCTTCGCGATGTTGGGCAAGGTTTCTCTCATCTGTAAACGGGAATAACAAGCCCTTCCGGTAGCCCCAAGGCGGTTCCACAGACAAAACTCGAAACTGCCGAGTGCACTGTCCGTCACCAGTCACAGCGCTGTTCACAATTTCTGTGACCCAGGAAGCGTCTGGCTAATCCTCGGGGCACGGCGGCGGGAGGGCCCTCGTCCGCTCTATCAACTCTCCGTGCAGATTTGGGATGGGAGCTTCTCCCCCTCTGTCTTCTGAGCACTTTGGAGCCTTCTCCACCCTCACGGCACGTCACCTGCCCTCCCCCCGCCCTCCCCCACATTCCCATTCTGCTTCCGTGCGAGTGTTTGCTGGTGACACTTGGTCACCGACCCACGAGCAACCTATCGTTTGGGAGAGACTGGAATGGCCCTCACCGGTGTCATTGTGAATCTTAACGCCGCAATCTCAGTGGCCGCTGTGATGCTATATTTACTTTTAAGATATTTTCATTCATATAATATTTATACTAAATGTATTACCCATTCTTTTTGCTCATCGGTTTCTAAACATGTGGTCGTGTGTCACTTCTCATTCTTTCTAATTCTTTTCTTTTAACTACCCTGTGCCTCCTTCGATATGATCGTCGCTTACATGCTGTGTGCAAGTTCCACGACACGGATGTTCTCCGCGACAACACGGGCGCTCTTCTTCCTCTTCATTTTCAGTTTAAGTGCCTTCCGAGCACTCCCTCTGCCAAAGCTTCTAAGATCGGTAGCGTCCATCCCATTGAGGTGAAGACGCCTCACTATACACCTCACCCTTCCAGAGCCTAACCTGCAGGCAGACACCACAAAAGGCAGAGAAGCCTGGCCGGCGTGGCTCCGTGGCTGAGCGTTCACCAATGAACAGGAGGTCACAGGTTCAGTTCCCAATCAGGGCACATGCCTGGGTTGTGGGCTCAATCTCCAGTGAGGGGCATGTAGGAGGCAGCCAGTCAATGATTCTCTCTCATCATTGATGTTCTATCTCTCTCTCCCTTTCCCTTCCTCTCTAAAATCAATGAAAATATTTTAAACACTAAACAAAACAGTCAAAGGGGTCTTTGGGGTCAATAAGACTCAAGGGGAAGCCACGATCTAACAGGTTTGCAAACGGACTGTGTGGCTTAAACTCCCCGAGGCCACAGCCTCTGCCTCACCTGCATCCCAGTCACCGTGATGTGACGATGGACAGGTGTTGTGTCCGCAGCGAAGGATCTGCTGGAATTCAACTTTGTTTCTCTCCATCATTACAGCTGATAGTGCAGATGCACATTTTTAGACCCCGGACCCCTTCTCCATCCTGGGCCAGGGCACTGTAGCCGACAGAGGAGACCCACCCAGCCTGTAGCCACGTGGAGGAGAGCACTGCTCAGTGAACGGACGATCTATGAGAACATGTCTGAATGCGCAGACAATCCCAGAGCCACGGCCATCCCGACTGCGGGGCACCACACGCAGTCCCAGGGAAGGCCACCGTCCTGAGCGCTGTAATGACGGCACCCAACAAGAACGCGCAGACCGGGGGTGGAGAACGTTGGCCCGCGGGCCATATGAGGCCTGTGAACCCATTTGGTCTGGCCCCGCCAAGGCATTAAGCATAACTTAATTAAATGTTTGACCCAACAGGGCAGGCTCATTTTTATGTGGGTCATTTTGCATGGCCTGTGAATGATGTTGTAAACACCCAAGTGGCCCTTGGCAGGAAAAAGGCTCCCCATCCCTGGTCTGGACCCACACACAGGGTTCAAGAATCCCTCGTCTCCTTCTGGAAATTAGAGACAACAGTGTCATTTCCCAGACACTGAAGCTGTCTTTCTCTGGTGGCTGCTCTCTGGCATCACTACCTACTTTCCTTCCGTCCTGTCTTCCAATTCTGGGTCTTTCTACAAGTTCTCTGGAGTGAAAAGCACATACTTATACCGTTCACAACGCCCCAGCGTGTCCCAGCCACGGACAGCCAGAGGCTCAGACTCTCAGCCTCTGCGGCTCACGTGACTGAACGTCACGGAGATCACAGGGTCTGCAGGCAGCTCACCCATCCCCTCAGCTTGCGGAGACCCACAGGGAGCCTCAGAGACCCCGACTCCACGCTGCGTGGTCACCAGGTGACAGTCACCAGGAAGGCTTCCCCAGGGAAGGTGTGCAGCTCAGTTTAAACATTTTCATACTGACATTTCTAATCTTGGGAAAAGAAGACCAAGTCATCGCGCACGCCTGCCATTTTAAACAACCCACTGTGCTCACACTGAGTGACAGAAACGTCCCTGTAACTTGTCGACGTAATTTATAACCCTTAAAGGCGCACATTCGAAATTCATTTCCACGCACCCTGAAGCCTGAGCACAGGGCTAGCCCCAGTGACCTGCGAATGGTGTTTACGTCGCTCAGCGCACTTTCCGGAGCGGTGGGTGGAGGCCACACGTATGGTCAGAGGTGAGAACGTGCCTGTGTGAGCCTCACGCAGTGAGCGCAGCCGGAGCCCGGGCTGGGCGGAGTGGCCGCTGGCCGAGCCCTCACAGTGGGGGGTCTCCGCTCCGGGGTGGTGGGGGGCCTCCCTCTACGCCTCAGGTCACTGAGTGCAACGGCGCGGGGGGCGGGGGGCACGTACCCAGGCACCGCGTCTCGGCGCCGCTCCACAGCCCGCTCGCCAGGCACTCTCGCACGTGGGACCCCACCAGCGTGTAGCCCGTGTTGCACGTGAATATGGCTGTGGCCCCGTACACGGTCAGCGTCCCGATCTTGTTGCCGTTGGGGGGGAAGGACAGGCTTCCGCATGAGATCACTACAAGGAAAGCGAGAATGAAGTGAGTGTCCCCGCGCCTCCAGAGCGTGGTTCGGCTCAGTGAGCATCGTCAGTCCTGGTTCTCACCAGGGTGGGGGGCGTGGGGGGGTGTATCTGTCCACTCAGGGTGGGTAGGCAACCAGCTGGAGCTTCATTTCCCTTCTCTTATGTCCCTGACAGGGAAGCGTAAATGTTTGGAGTGGATTCCAGAATCTTCTAGGTCCTTCCAGGCCCATTGCTATGGTCTCATCCTCACAGGCAGCTAAGCCTTTCTCGAAAAAACACTCAGGAGACCACTTCTTCACACACAAGCCCCTCTGCCACCCGCACGGGCATCCTGTCCACCTCGGTCTGTACCAGGCACGAGGCCCACGTGACAGTCATGGGGCGGGGGGGTGCCGACGTGGGCCCGGGGGATGGAGAATGGCCGCTCCGGTCAACGTGCCGGGACCAGGCAGCGTGGGATGACGGCCCAGGATGTCCACCCCCACGGCAGACAGAGCGCTCATTCTCGCATTCACGGGCGTGATCTTTTGGGATCCTCAGCCCACAGCATTGCTGACTGGACAGCTGGCATGTGGAGTCTTCCTCACAATTAAAAACGATACAGTCTGGCCCCTGGGTGGCTGGAGAGAGAGGCATGTGTGTCCCAGCTACACCTGCCTTCCCAGCACAGTCATCGCGGGTGCCATGTGCACCTCACGGCCACGCCCGTGGGAGCTGGATTCAGTGTAGACAGTGAACATACCCGGGTCCCTGCACATGTGTGAGCACAGAGAGGCGTGGAGTCTCACGGCCGAAGACATCACCAGGTCCCCGGGGCCACCCGCTCACCAGGGCAAACACGCACGTGAACAGGTGAGAACGGGAGGTGTGAAGTGCCGCTTGGAGTCGCGCGGGGCGCAGGGCTGGGGGCAGGGCTGGCGAGGAGCTAGACATGACTGTCTGTGTGAACAGTCAGCCGACAGGAGGCAGTCACACAGGGAGACGAGAGCACAGCTCCTGGCCGCAGGCTCCCAGGCTCAGCCTCGCTGGACGGGTCACCAGCTGGGACGCTGGCCAATCTCCCCCGTCTCGTCTCCGGGGGCGCCTATCAAGGCTGACTTCCCTCCCAACTCCCGACTCCTGTGGGGAGAGCCCTGAAATAAACAACAGATGAGGGTGTTCGGGGCCGGGAAGCCCGTCCTGGAGGTGGGGACCAGGCCTAGTGCAGCGAGGGCGTGGCTGTTACATCCTCGGGTCCCGCTGATGCTGATGTGTCTGGAGAGGAGTCAGCTCCTGTTTGTGGTCCAGGGAGGGAGACCCCTTGCCGAGAGAGACCACCCTCTTCCAGAATGTTCCATGGGGACTGAGAGAACATGGGTACTTCGTTGTTTGCTAGGAGAACCGTCCGTCAATGCCAATGAGGTCGAATCCGACAGTGCTGTGCTCCAAATCGCATCCTATTGATGTCCTGCCCACCTGCCTCCTGCACTGCTGAGGGGAAGCACTGAACTCCGTGACTGTGACTTTAAGTCGGTCCATTCTCCTTACCCTTCAGCCGGGAGCGGCTATAGAATTAAGCCTCGGGCTGACCGGTGGCAGGGCCACAAACAAGTCCCTTCCTGGAGGGTAGAGCTCTCCTAGCACAATTAAGCCTGACCTCATAGCCTCCCTAATTCCTTCCTAAGTAGCTAATGGGCTGTGGGAGGTGCAGCCAGTGTTGTCAACACAAGAACATTTGTAGACGTGTTCATCTACCCTTGTTTTACTCAGACTATAAAATAAAGCATCGGCTTGCAGGCTGGGTCTGTGTCCTCATCCAGGCAAGGAAGATCCACCCAACCCCAGCTGTATTCTCTTTGTCTGTCTTCTTTAATCCTTCACCGCCTCTCCTCAGGCTCACCCTTGGCTGTGCTCGCGCGGCACACCATTCTACTCATTTTTGCTGAATGTATTTTGAAGCTTCCTTCTTAGGTGTATAAATAATTAAAATTGTTATATTTAAAAATAAACAACTCCTTTATTACTGTCGAAAAAAGTCCCTGTCAAAAGGGCGACACCTACAAGCCCTGCCCCAGGTTGTGTGCTGGGCTCGTGGCGAGGACACGTATGCTGAGTGCTCACAGCAGAGCCTGCACATGGTCCGGGCTCATGAGAGGACACGTGTGCTGGGTGCTCACAGCAGAGCCTGCACATGGTCCGGGCTCATGAGAGGACACGTGTGCTGGGTGCTCACAGCAGAGCCTGCACATGGTCCAGGCTCATGAGAGGACACGTGTGCTGAGTGCTCACAGCAGAGCCTGCACGTGGTCCAGGCTCATGAGAGGACACGTGTGCTGAGTGCTTACAGCGGTGTCTGCACATGGTCCGGGCTCATGAGAGGACACGTGTGCTGAGTGCTTACAGCGGTGTCTGCACGTGGTCCGGGCTCATGGAGAGGACACGTGTGCTGAGTGGGCACAGCAGAGCCTGCATGTGTCCGGGCTCATTCAGGGAACTAACCTCTCAGGACCTGGTCAGACCTGAGTGAAATGTGTGCAAACCTTTACTGGTGAATCCCACGAAGAGAAATCAGGAAGTGAAATGGATGCGTGTGCCACGTAGACCAGCCTTGGAAACAGGCGGCCTTTCTCCCAGGTGTGACGCCCCGGTTCCATCTGAAGGGGACAAGCAGGCACACGGCCAGCCACCGCAGGCTCGGGCCGCTCGCCAGGCACGGGGAAGCTGTGCCCTAGAGCAAGTCCAGCAGACGTTACTGGGGTGGAGACGGCGTCCACAGGGCACCGCCCGCTGGGATGCCGAGCTCTCGCCGGTCACAGCCGGGCATTTGGTGATATTGCCAACGTGTTTGCTGAGCCAAGTGTCAATGCATTAGACCAGGATGTAGCTTTCACAGTTTCTCATGAACCTTTCATCCAGCCTTTTCCCAAACACAGCGCGACCTTCACCGTCAGCCATGATGTCTGGAGACCCACCTGCTGCCACTGCGGATTGTCGGAAGGTGTTTTAAACGTCAGGGTTGGTCAGAAACATGTGGGACAGTGGGAGGTCTGACACCCCCTCTCCCAGGCCTGGCGCGCCTGGTCGGCGCTGGACGGGACGGCTCACCGCTCTGGTCCGCGCTGCCCTCCCGGTGGCTATTGAAACTGTGGGGGCGGCCTGTTCAGTTCGTCCTCCATGGAGCCCCCTGGGTGGTGAAGAAAGCCCGGTGGAGCGGAAGCCCAGCTCCAGCTGCGGGGTGACGGGTCCCGCCGGCGGGCAGGGGTGCGCTGGCCCTACCTGCTACGTGAGTGAGGAAAGCAGCCCGGGCAGGAGAGCCCGCCTGCAGGAGACAGGGACCAGCCTTTGCCGACGCCGCGGAAGGCCTGGCTGCGGCCCCTCTCACGGAGCTTCTACCTGATTCACTAAGTGGCTCCTCCCCTTCGCAAGCAAGGCAGCCGGCCGCGCCCAGCTCCCCGGCGTTCTCATCGGGGACCCTGCTGCCCGCCAGGCGCCTGCTGCTGGCATCGGAGGCCCCCAGGGCCCTCGGGATTGGGAGCCACGGGAAGCCCTGAGTCCGCTCCTCTCCCACGCTCATCCCGGGGTGCCCTCGCTCAGCTGCGCTCGGCGTCTGACCTGTCTGCACTGGTTTCTGTGCAGGGGGCTTCCCGGGGACAGTCGCTGGAGGCTGTGTCCCGGGTGTCAGAATCGAGTCGTGCTCTGAGCAACAGCGATATTGTGTGTTTTTCTGTTTATTCTCATTTATTATGAAACCACCTCCAGGTCCTGCTTGTCTGGTGCCTACGAGCATCATGAGCCCCTGGGAGGCGGCTGTGATGGGGGAACACAGGTCCCGTCAGAGTGGGGGCCGTCCCCGGGGGGGACAGCGTCTCTCTAGCATCACCTGGGCTCCGTTCCGAGCTGCTCGGAAACCCTGGCCGATGGGAGCCTTCTGACGCTAGTAAACTGATGTCAGCCAGGGAAAGGCACGTGCTTTGGTCTGTCACATCGCCAGACACCGCCTTCATTATAGCGCAAGGGGATGCCACTGGGTTCAGCTACAGCAGGGTGGGGACGTCCGGGGGCCGCCGAAGGCCTGAGAAGGCCAGAGCGTCAGGGGAGGGTAAATCGAACGCTGGGTCGGACAGAGCAGGCTCACTTTTAGGCGGGCGATGCCGTATGGCCCGCAGATGCTGTAAATATCCACACGGCCGTGGCGGGAAAAGGGTTCCCACCCTGCTCGGTGGGATCCAGGCCCCTGGGGTCCTGACTCGGGGGGCGGGGCGGCCCGGAGCAGGCCTGGGACTCACTCACCTCTGCACTGGGGCCGCTGCTCGCCCGTGCTCCACGTGCCGTCGGCCTGGCACCGCAGCAGCCGGGCGCCCTCCAGGTGGTGGCCGGGGCTGCAGCTCAGCACCACCTGCGCGCCGAACTCATTCGGGGCCCCCGACACCAGCCTCCAGGTGACGTGCTCCGCCAGCTGCGCCTCGATGCCGGGGCACGTGACGGCTGGAAAAGAGTCACAGCCAGCGTCACCACCCCCCCTCCCGGCCCGGATCGTGCCCGCGTTTCCGAGGAGAGACCTTCCTTCCCAGCCCGCTCACTGGGAAGCCCCTGCCAGGACTTATTACTTGGGTCTCTATCCCCACTGTCACGCGGTGGTCTCACGTGGGCGATGCGTGCAGGGCCCGTGGCTCGTGCTCGGGAGACCTGCAGTGAGACCGCCAGGAAGCGGAAGTCCCTGACCCGAGGGCACAGGTTCATGTGAAGAGGAACATGCCCTTCCGGTAAGGGAACATGCGTGTGAGACACGGTTCACCTATTTCTCTCAATGCCTCCAGGGAGCCGGGCTGGGCCTGAGCCACGGGGAAGCAGGTGGACACTGATTCTTGGAAAATGAGATGCCCTCATGCCCCCCCCCCGTTCACGCCCCTCACTGCGCCATGGGCTGCCCCCCACCCCCCGTTCACGCCCCTCACTGCGCCAAGGGCTGCCCTCCCCCCCATGCCCTCACTGCGCCATGGGCTGCCCTCCCCCCCACACCCCTCACTGAGCCATGGGCTGCCCTCCCTCCCCATGCCCCTCACTGCGCCAAGGGCTGCCCTCCCTCCCCACGCCCCTCACTGCGCCATGGGCTGCCCTCCCTCCCCACGCCCCTCACTGCGCCATGGGCTGCCCTCCCCCCCACGCCCCTCACTGCGCCATGGGCTGCCCTCCCTCCCCACGCCCCTCACTGCGCCAAGGGCTGCCCGTCCCGGGACTCCCGTGTGGGAGAAGGTTACGCGCACACGGTGCCATCACCGAGCAGAGCACATGTAGCAGGTGCCACAGGAGGCGTCTCTTTGTGCTCTGAGATGAAGGCCGAGGCTCTGGGGGGGCGGGGTGGTAGGCTCTGGGGGGGCGCTAGGCTCTGGGGGGGCGCTAGGCTCTGGGGGGCGGTAGGCTCTGGGGGGGGTGGTAGGCTCTGGGGGTGACTCAGGAGCCCCAGCAGCAATGACAGCAGTAATGACAGTAGCCCTCCTAGTGCCACTGCGTCACCACCAGCATCAACTGCAAGGGATTTGCACAGACGCTGACAACACCGTGTGTGCACTGTCCCGTGGATGCGAGGATTCGTATTTTCTGAAAGTGCGATCGTGTTTAAAACGGCTATCGCACAATCAGGCCCCAGAGCCCCATTTCTCTACATGTGAGTTAACACCACAGTCAACCACCCACAAAACTGACCCGATTGGTTAATTATTGGGCCTGGAAGAGTTTGCTGGAGACGCCCTAAGTTTTTACAGGATACGAAGAAATACATTTTACTTTTAAAATTCTATTCAAGCTCATTAAAATCGAATCAGGCATATTCGAAACGTTACAAAACTCGCCTTTAATCTTCTCTCCATAATTTACCAGTATTATGTGCAAATAAACTGAAAAAAATAGGTCTTTTCGTATTCTAATACTATCGATGAGGTTTAAAATGGGAAAAGCATTTGTACATTTAAAAGTCATCCCAAATCTTTCTTGTAGGTGTTTTTTAGATAAAACCGTTATCTGAAATTCATATGGCGATCCCAGCGTTTTACCTACTCATATAAATATGATTTTCCTCCAGCCGGAACCCCTCAGAGTTCCAGGCACAGCCGCCATTTCTGAAAAGTCTTTAGTAAACCCACGACGCCCCCATCCCAGGACACGCATCGGGTAAGATTCATTTCAGGCCCAAAAGCGCACTTCTGGCACCCACGTGATTGTTGCTCGTCACCTAAACGATCTCCCACAAACCCTACTTCTGCCCAGAGGACGGCTGTTGGCTTGACGACGGAATCGGGGTTTCCGGGAGCCGCTGGTGTCTACAGCGATGGCCCCCGTTCTTCCTGACTCGCCCCCTTCAGGGCCTGCGCTGCAAAATTGGATTCTCCCTTTTGTGTCTGCTTGCCTCTCCCTCCTCGCAAGGCCCCCCCCATTCTCCCCTGCAAACAGTGCTGCCCTTTCACTTTTTCTGCATGTCAGTCATGCCTGACTTAAAGCAGGTGCCACGGCCACGAGTTTATAAAAGTGTATGTGGCCCGGCCGGCGTGGCTCAGTGGTTGAGCACTGACCTATGAACCAGGAGGTCAGGGTTTGATTCCCGGGAGTGGCCATGTCACGGGCACCAGCTCAGGCACCAGGCAGCTGCACGCAGAGCTGCCGGGACATCAAAGACCCGAAGTCCAAGGGGACTGAGGAGGCGGAGGATGCAGACCTGAGGACGCTTCAGCGTTTCCTTAGGTGCGGTCGCCGGGGTCACGGTGCGGTTTCCGCTTTTTCTTTTTTTTAACATTTTTACAAATATTTAATTGTTATTTTTCCTTCTATTCCTTCCTCTGTCCCTATCTTTCAATTTTTTAAAATATATTTTTGTTCATTTCAGAGAGGAAAAGAGAGGGAGAGGGAGATAGAAATATCAGTGATGAGGAAATCATGGATCGGCTGCCTCCTGCACGCCCCCCACTGGGGATGGAACCCACAACCCAGGCATGTGCCCTGACTGGGAATCGAACCCTGACCGCCTGGTTCATAGGTCAATGCTCAACCACTGAGCCATGCCGGCGGGGCTCAGTTTCCTCTCAATTCCATGACTCCACATTCAGTGGCAGCCAACTCAGTTCTGTGGCCGACCCACCCGGTCCAGAACCAGGACACCGACAGGTCCCACCTACCACGTCCAGCCCCGCAAGGCTCATTCTCATCATCACAGGTGTGTGTGGGACGTGGGCGCGTGTGGGACGTGGGCGCGTGTGGGACGTGGGCGCGTGTGGGGACGTGGGCGCGTGTGGGACGTGGGCGCGTGTGGACATGGGCGCGTGTGGAAACGTGGGGCGCATGTGGAAACGTGGGCGCATGTGGAAACGTGGGCGCGTGTGGACGTGGGTGTGTGTGGACGTGGGCACGTGTGGAAACGTGGGCAAGTGTGGGATGTGGGCACGTGTGGGATGTGGGCGTGTGGGACGTGGGCGCGTGTGGGACATGGGTTTGTGTGGGGAATGTGTGTCTCTGTGGGGAACGTGGGCTGTGACCCCCCAATGCAGTGACAGGTGCTCACCCTGCGGCTGGAGCTGGACCCTCGCAGGGAAGCCCCTCCCAGGAGCCCCCCACGGGCACCCGGCCCCACTCACGCTTGCAGGCGGGCGGCGTCCCTCCGTGGCTCCAGGACCCGTCTTCCCGGCACACGGCCGTGGCTCGCTGGCTGCCTTCGAGCGTGAAGCCCTCGTCACACTCGTAGGTGACTTTACTGCCCAAGGTGAACTCGTTCCCCGCGAAGGAGCCGTTCCCCGGGGCCTCGGGGATGCCGCAGGACACGGCTGGGGAGGGAGGCAAGGCGGTCAGTCACCGGGCGTCAGCGCTGCTGGCATTTCTGTCTCTAAGTACTGCACACGCATAGCACAGGCCGGAGCGCCGAGGGACGTCGGGGTTGATGAGAAACAACGAGACCCCGATCAGAATAACACGCCCCAGGGCTGCTTTCCAGGACTAAGCTGACGGCTGTGGCCCTGTAATCAACCCACGCGCTCTATCAGATGAACGAGAGCACACCCCCTTCACTTAACATCGGGAAAAGGGACAGCATAGCATCTTCCAGTCACAGAACCCGTCGCGGTGCGGACTCCTCGCACTGAGCGGTCCCGCCTCAGGCTCCAAATCCTCCTTCTTATTCGCTGCACACACACCCCTCCGCAGAGCCCGCCCCCCCCCCCCCCCCCCCGTCCCCGGGACTCATGTTCCTACAAGTTCTATTAAAGACCAACAGCGAGCTACAGTGCATCCTCGATCATAACCTCTATTATTTTATAAGTCACCTGCCCGGGGGCTCGGCCTGGGGCTGAACTACAGGGGATTTGAGGGGGACACGGGGCCAGGAGCTGGGCCAGAGGTCAGTGCCCATCACTCTGATGGCGAAGGCTGGCGAGGAAACGCTGCCGTGAGGAGGGAAGCTGGGAGCCTGCCACGGGCAGAACTCCACAGAGCACTTCTCTCCTCAGACCCCAGCTCCGGCCGCGCCCTGTCTGCGAGGCACAGGCGCGGTCTCCGGGCCTGGCCCATGGAGCTCAGTGGTCGGGCACCCCCCCATGCACCCAAAGGCCGCTGGTTTGATCCCAGTCGGGGCGCATGGTCAGGGGGTGAGGGAGTGTGCAGGAGGCAGCCAATCAGTGCTTCCCTCTCTCATCGATGTTTCTTTCCCCCTCTCTTCCTCCCTCTCTAAAGATCAATAATAACACCTCTCCTACTCTGTCAGCATGCACCTGGGGCTCCCTTAAAAAGAATGAATGAAAGAATGAATGAATGAATGAGTAGTAAATAAATAAACTCTCAGGTGAAATGGCTACAAGGTCCACGAGGGAGCCACGAGCAGGGCAGGGCACCTCTGCCCAGGAAGCCCCGGGAGGACCACACCGGGGACCCTTCATCCGCCGGCATCCGAGATGCTCCCACCGGGCATTTAAACCTCAGTCCCAGGCCCAGGACACGGCCCACGGCTGCCCGAGCAGTCAGCGCCCGGTCACAGGCGGAGAGCGACAAAATGTTTAAAGGAAATGAAAAGCATTTTTTCTTTTGAAAGAAAATTTACTTCTGTTTTAAAGAAAAAGCATCACCGTTCCTAGTGGAACAAGCGCACTGGCCCTGTGTGAGCCCCGACATTACAGAGGGTTTCTCGGGGGGCGGGGGTGAGGGGGGGAAGTGTGTGTGAGCACTGAGCCAGGGGGTGGAGCTGAGGGAGATCAATGTCTGCCACTGGCCCCTGTGCAGCCAGAAAAGCTCGCATCCCAGGAAGGAGAGAGAGGGAAACCAGTGGGAGGCTCTATTTATAAATCATAATCAGCTTTCAAAGGCCAACACATCTCCTTACGAATATAAACCTCAATCAGACAAAACTCCGAACACTTCATGACTTCAAAGACCTCAATTAAAAATTAAAATGCCGCCTTTGAAAATCTGACTTTTATGCGTTTGACAGAAAAAAATACAAAAAAAGGCGTAAAATATTGAAATCGACTTTAACAAGCTGTAGATGTGAGCCACCAAAAGAAAACGAATCCACAGCATACGGCTCCCAGAATGAGTTTTAACCTAAAAGAAGGAAAGTTAGCATTCGGAGTTGGCTTTTTAAATGACTTCAACTGTAAAAATCTTACTTTGAACCTAAATGAGCAAATGCACTTTTCAGTCTGCAATGAACCACAGTGGGTGTTAGAATGACCTCCGGCCCTGTGACTGCCCGCCGCCCTCTGGCTCCAGATGAGGGCGATGAAGCCGCATAAAGGCCAGGACTGTGCACGGCCGCCCAGAGCTGACCTGCGCTTCTGGGCCCGCTCAGGTGCCTCCCCTTTCAGCCCAGCCTCGGCTCTGTCCGTCAGCGCGATCGCAGTGAGGGGTCCGGAGGGGAGGGACCCCGTCTTACCCTGGCACAGCGGCGGGAGGGCGTCCCACTGGAACATGCCCACGGGGTTCCGGGTGCACGTGGCGTTGCCGCGGCCCACCAGGCGGTGCCCGGGCTGGCAGGAGTAGTGCACGGTGCTGCCCAGCGCCCCCGCAGTCCTGTTCAAGACGCCGCCGTTCCTGGGCGTGTGGGTCAGGCTGCAGTAAGGGGCTGCAGGCAGACAGAAGCACACACGCAGACAGACAGACAGACATGCAGACAGACACACAGATAGACAGACACACACACAGACAGACAAGTGTAAGTGAGCCGCCATCTCCCTGCTCCGAGGGTGTCAGGACAGCTCTGCTGTTCGAATAACAAGAAAACAGTTGCAGTGTGTAACCGGCTCTGAAACGTACCCCCAACACCTGTGCCCGGAGCATGCGGGGAGCAGGAACCGCACTCACTGGGGGGGTCACAGGGGGGCCGCCCCCCCACGGAGGGCCGGTGGGCGGTTTCTGAGGAAAGGACACCTGCTCTCACCACAGGATGACTTGTGAAGTTAACAGCATCGTGACCATACCTTCCTGTTTGTGCTCTTAGCTTAAGGTTAATGGATAGAATTTTATCTTTAGGGAAATGTCTTTGCCTTCCATGATACGGGGCTCAATGGTTTAGGATGTGAGCAACATCGTTTTAAATCGTTAACCCACAGGCAGTTTATTTTCCCTAAATTCATTTGGAGACGTCACTCAGAGCATTCCCGTCACATCATTTCTATCGAAGTTTACTATTTATCTTCAAAAATCAGGCTTCTGTCTACCTATTTCTTTTCCTTTTAATATATTTATGGATTTCAGAGAGGAAGGGAGAGGGAGAGAGCAAGAAACATCAATGATGGGAGGGAATCACGGATCGGTTGCCTCCTGCACGCCCCCTGCTGGGGATGGAGCCCGCAATCCAGGCATGTGCCCTGACCGGGAATGGAACCGTGACCTCCTGGCTCAGAGGTGGGCGCTCAGCGCCCGAGCCGCCGGCCGGGCTGTGTAATTTGAAGGGAACGCGATCACTTGCGTGGAGAGCCCTGTCCACGCAGTCGCCGTCTCCCGCTCACCTGAGTAGCGGATCTTGAAGCCCTTCTTGCTGGTGGCGTGGTCGGTGGACCAGCGCAGGAACAGCTGGCTGCCGCTGCTGGTGAAGCGCGCCTGCTCCGTGTGGTTCCCGCTCAGCACCACGAGCAGCGGGCTCTGCCCGGAAGAGCCTGCGAAACGGACACACAGACGCTGACACGCACCTGCCGAACACGGCTGAACACGGCCGCACACACGGATGCTGTCATCCGTGTCCCACTGGGCTCTACACGTTCCACACAGAGTGGTCCCTCCCGAGGCGGAGGAAACATTCCTGGTGACAACAGCAGAGGTGCTTCCCCGATACGAAGGCACGGCCCCCGGAGCAATTCCAGGGGGTGCTCGCCACACCCTCACACTAAATCACAGGAAGCCCAGCTTTACAGCAGCAGTCCCGGGGTACACCACACACAGCCCCGTGGGCCCTGAGACCACGGACAGTGCCGGACCCGCATTCCTATGCTTTTCCCTGTACTTTCCCCCTTTCCGCTTGCAGGGAGGACCCCGGCTCCTCGCTGGCACCCCTGAACCGCAGCTTCACCGCCTTGCGCTACGGGACCATCATTAAGTGAAGGAAGGTGATGGAGCGCAGCCCGAGACCCCAGGACCAGGGCTGGTCGCCGGCAGGGAGGCTGGGCCACAGGGAGACGCTGGGCAGAGGATGCTCACATCCCGGGGACTGAGGAGGACCCCGAGATTCCATCACACCACTCGGAGCAGAGCGCAACTTAAAACTTACCAACCGTTTCTAGAATTTTCCATTTAATATGTTTGGACCACAGTTGTCGGTGGGTAATGGAAAAGGTGGATAAGGGGGGACTACTGCACACTTAAGGAAACACCTCTGAAAGTGGAAATACTCATTTCTATGTGTACGCGTGTAAATTTAATTTCCAACTTAGCACTTCACCTTGGCAATTCATACGTTAATTCATGTGCTACCCATCCATCAGAGCAATTCGGTTATTACTGGTCGTCAGCCAGTAAAAGGCATATGAACACCCATAGAAAGAATCGGAATCAATTACAGTAAATTTATGTTCACTGAATTGACTATTTACCAGAACGTAATGACAAATTTTTCAGAACATGTGAAAACCCTATTATTATGTGCAGCATAATTCTATGTTGGTCTAATTTCCTGGGGTATGATAAAATTATTAACATCGGTTTCAGTCCAAATTGACGATTCGGCCACACTTTCATCCCAAGCATCGCACTGTTCTACTAAAAGGTCTGCTAGCCCGGCCGGCGTGGCTCAGTGGCTGAGCGTCGACCCAGGAACCGAGAGGTCGCGGGTTCGATTCCCGACCTGGTTGTGGGCTCAATCCCCAGTGAGGGGTGTGCAGGAGGCAGCAGATTAATGATGTTTCTCTTTCAATCGATGTTTCTATCTCTCTATCCCTCTCCCTTCCTCTCGCTCTAAAAATCAATTAAAAAACAAAACAAAACAAAGTAATAAAAATCAATAAAAAAAGTCTGATAGAGCCCTGGCCAGGGTAGCTCAATGGTTAGGGTATCAGCCCTTACACTGAGGGTCACAGTGTATTCCCGATCAGGGCACATGCCCAGGCTGTGGGCTTGATCCCAGGTCTGGGTGTGCATGGGAGGCAACCGATTGATGTTTCTCTCTCTCTCTCTCTCTCCTTCTCCCTTTTGAATCAATGAAATGCATGTCCTCAGGTGAGGATTTTTAAGAAGTTTATTAGAATTCTATAAAAATATATAAGACTAAACTAAAAAACTGTTTATTGAAGACTCCTGCAGCATTTATCATCTAGAAATCTGTGAGCCATTATACTTATATATTTCTAGTGAAATCGTCATTTACTTTGGATCGAGCACCTTTATTTCCGAAATCTTAAACTTCCTGAAAGATCTTCTGAATGAATATACTTCTTAGCGAGAAAGGAGGAGCCGCGTGCGGGCCTCTGCCCTGGGTCCCCACGTGGCGCATGACTAACGCGTCGTCAGCACATGGCCGGTGTATCGCCAGGTTTCTAACTGTGTGACAGCTGGGACGGTGACAGATGTGCATGGTTTACGGGCACCGGGTCCGAGACTGCACAGCGCGAGAGGAGCTCACTGCCTGTCCGGGGACGTGTAGTTTCACTCGGTCACCGATCACGTTCTTGTGAGAGAACAGCCTGGCGGGGGTGCTGCTGGCACACCGGGCAGAGTGAGCGCCCGGGAGCCACGAGGAGAAACGTACCGTCAAACACCTCCAGGGCATCGAACTGCTTCTCGCTCTGGAAGCTGTCCACGAAGAGTGTGATGTTGTAGCGCGGCTCCACGCGGATGGTCCAGGAGCAGGTCTGCGAGTTGAAGTAGTTGCCGGGGTAACCGGGGCTCAGGATGACCCCCGAGGACTCCGTGCGGACCTCATTGGCCGGGCACTGGGCTGAGGAGGGACGGAAAGTTCTCCTTAACAAAGGGAACGCTCAGTAGGTCAGCGTCCTCCCTGCGTGTGCGAGGCCAGGGAGGGAGAGGCGTTCCCACTGCGCTCTGACCCACGGAAGGCGGGGCACACGGCAGGGGACCGGCCCTGACCGACAATAGTGACACTGTAACATCTCCCTGCCACCCAGGACAGAATGACGCACGTATGACACCTAAGAGAATGCTGCATGCATGACACAAGAGAACTATACATGTATGGCCTACATGAGATTCATACATGCATGGCATATAAGAGAATGACACATGTGTGGCATACGAGAATGATGCACATATGACACAAGATAATGGTTCATGTATGACACGTAAGAGAATGATGCACGTGTGGCACCAAGAGAATCATATGTGTACAACATGTAAGAGAACTGTACATGTATGACATATGCTGACACGCAGGGTGCTTAGATGACATGGGCAGATGATAGACAGGAAGAAGGGTGATGGCAGGAGGAGGGTGCACAGGTCCTATTTAACTCCAGGCTCAAGGCGGCCAAGTCATCGACCTGACCCAGGGCTGCCAAATCTGACGCAGATGCCAAATGGAGAGGAAATACTGAGCCGGGAAGTCCTCTTTACCTGGACCAGGCGGACCGGAAGTCCAGCCCTGCCCACCTGCCCTGGAGTGGAGCCGGAGTGATGCGGGAGCAGTGACTGCCTTGCTGTCTCCCTCATGGAGACTGAACCCCCACACCCTAACCCAGGGCAGGTATGGGGGGCTCACCCAGCATCCCACGCTTCCCCCCTCAACTAAAAAGCGAGGCCTCGCCCGGCCAACGTGGCTCAGTGGCTGAGCGTCGACCTATGAACCAGGAGGTCATGGTTTGATTCCCGGTCGGGGCACATGCTCAGGTTGTGGGCTCGATCCCCAGTGGGGGGCGTGCAGGAGGCAGCCGATCCATGATTCTCTCTCATCATGGAGGTTTCTATCTCTCCCTCCCTCTCCCTTCCTCTCTGAAATCAATGAAAATACATTTTTAAATTAAAAATAAATAAGAATAAATAAGTAAGTAGGGGCCCTGGCCTGAGGGACTGGAGGCCGTCCCTGGGGTCTCCGGGGAGAGGGTCAGGACGGGGTCCAGCCGCAGGACCCGTGGGTGCGAGAGATCCCAAGGCACTGCCTGCTGGTGTCAGGCCTCCCGGCCCCCATTCGGGTCTAAATGAAGACAAGTGTCCAACCAGGTCACACCCCCCTCAGAAGGCGCTCGGCCCCTAGGACCCACCTGTCACCTCCGCTCCCAGGGCCCCCCCGCACCCCCGCCCAGAGGCCAGGCCACAGTGAGCGCCTGAGGGGCTGGGGGTCTTCCCAGGCAGCTCGGGGCCCAGGCGATTCTTCGCCGAGAATGTCCTGGGGGACCAGGCCCCGCGAGCCCAGGGACGTCCATCCCACAGCGAGAGGGCGCCGTCGGGGTCAGCCCCAGGTCAGGGCACCTGAGCTCGAGCTCCCTTTGAACAAGGCGCGTCGGGAAGGACAGCCTGGCCACCTCCCTGCTCCTCCCAGAGACGCCTGCTGAACGGGACAGGAGGCCAGAGCTGGGCGCCCTGCTCGGGCAGAGGGCAGAGGGCAGAGGGCAGGGACCTTGGGCGTGTCCACAGAGCCCATCTCGCCGGCAGACGCTGCCCCAAAATGTGTGTGACAGTGAAGCCACTCAGCACACGTGGCCACAAGCGAGGTGTCCATTTGCTCTGCCCCTGGGTCCGTGTGAACTGATCTCACTCAGATTGAAACGAGGCCGGACTTGGGGGGGGACAACAGCATGAAGGTGCTTCTCTGTCTTTGAAGTCATCCCTGAACAAACAGGGACGCCTCCTCTCACCACGGGAGGCAGGTTTGCTCAGGGTCCGCTATGCGAGACAGATGGCTGCCTCTGTCGGGATGAAAATGTGAAGAATCGCCCGTTAGCTTTTCTATTAAAAGCGCGTTTGACACCTGACCCCACCCCTTGGGGAAAGGCCCTCAAGGTCACCGTGGCTGCTGGAAGGCGACCCAATTGATTTTCCCAAGAAAATGACGCCTCGGTCTCCTGCCTCAGCGCCCCCAGGGACCCCATGTCCAGGGTAGGGGGAGGCGGGGGTGGAGTGTACCCGCCCCCACACCCGCCCCGTCCCACGGGCACTGAAGGGGGAGAGTGGCCCAAGGGCTGCTCCCTGCTCGCCCGGGGTTTCCCACGCCCCACCGCTCTCACGTCCGCACAATTTGGAAGTGAACTTGTCCTCAGAATCCTCTAAGTTCGCGCGGTTTGTTAGCAGCAGCCCTGCCAGATGCTGTCGGATGGATGGTGAGCACCTGTCTCTCGGGTGAGGGTGCTGCCGCGCTTGCGATGAATGAGCAGAGGCAGCGGACACTGAGGGCCTCCGTTCAAGGGCAGCCTTGCACTCAACACCGCTGCACCCCGGGGCGGGGGGCTGTCACAGGGGAGATCCTAACCTCATGGGACATGCACAGGAGAGCTCACGCACGACCCCTGCGTGGCCAGGCCAATCCCAGACACTTGCAGGGAGGTGGTCCCTCGCTCGGGCTCGGGCTTTGGGACTTGCCGGAGGCCGAGGAGCCGTCCGGGCTGAGACCCGGCTCCCCCGAACCTGGGCCCTCAGGTGCAGGGTCCCCCAGAAGCCCAGCCTCCGCGGCCTGAAAGGAGCCTCCGTTCCTTAAAGGGACCCATGTGCCCCCTGATGTGAATCCGTAAAATACAATTTACTTTAGCTGAGCTTTTTGGTTTTTTGCATTTTTAAAAAATACATTTTTATTGATTTCAGAGAGGAAAGGAGAGGGAGAGAGAGAGAGAAACAACCATGATGAGAAAATTATGGATCGGCTGCCTCCTGCACGCCCCACCGGGATGGAGCCCGCAACCCGGGCATGTGCCCTTGACCGGAATCGAACCCGGGACCCTTCAATCCGCAGGCTGACACTCTAGCCACTGAGCCAAACCAGCCAGGGCTTAACATTTTTTGGTTGCCTTTCCTACAAGCCCGAACTGGGGGTCGAACCCGAAACCTCTTGGTGTGCGGGACGACGCTCCCACCAGCGGAGCCCCCGGGCAGCCAGCGCCTGGGCCGGCAGAGCAGCACTTCTCCCGCGGTGTCGGGCCTTTTACTTATTTACATTGTTCCAAGTCCTCCTTCTTCCTGCAACACTTGAGCGTGGTGTCTTTTAAAGGACACTGAACGTGATCTGATGATATCCACACCCCTGAGCCCATCGATTCGGCCTCAGCCCTCGCTCTGCTGGTGTGTTGTCTCTGCCCCTGTGCCTGCCCACGCCTTTAAAGGCCTGTCACAGAGAAACGGGTGCGTTCACTGACGTCACAGAAACAAATGGTCAGCCCCAGCTGGCCGTGGACCCACGGCGGGAGGACAGGGACGCAGAGCGCTGCTCCCATCAGCCTGGAAATGCGTCAGAAATCTCAGCGAGAGGAGAGGGTGGAAGGAGACAGGGACGCAGGACACGGATTCCCGGTGGACACGGGCGGTGGCGCCTGGGCCTGGCGTTCAGGTCTCACTTTACTTCTTTCAGCGCTGCCGTATGTTTGAAACCTCCCCCTCCCCCATGCCCTGCTGGGGGCAGCGAGACCTCTTGGCTGCTGTGGTTTTCGGTTCTGGCACCAGGAGAGGCCGGGGCGGTGTCTGTGCGCGGGGACTGTGACTGCAGGGGCTCAGGGCAAGGAGGGAGGGCAAGGTCAGACCCACACACGGAAGCCCCCCACGCAGGGAGTGTGTTCCACGTGGGACACGGACGCGTGGCCTCGGTCACGTACCTTCGCACGTGGGGAGCGAGCCCTGGAACTGCAGCTGGGCACCGAGCTTGCAGGTGAGCGTGTCCGAGCCCGACAGCGTGTAGCCGGGGTGGCAGAGGTACCGCACGGAGTCCCCTGCAAGAGTCCACACGACACTCGGAAACTGGCCTCTGTGACACCCAGAGTGTGGGCGCCTCACACACAGGCGCTGACCTAACCAGCGACGTCAGCGGGCAAACCATGTCCGTCCGACCAACGCCCATCCTCTTTTCTATCTGTTTCTATTTGTTAAATATATTTTTATGATTTCAGAGAGGAAGGGAGAGGGAGAGAGAGATAGAAGCATCATGATGAGAGAGGATGATGGATCGGCTGCCTCCTGCACGCCCCCCACTGGGGATGAAGCCTGCAACCCATGCATGTGCCCTGACTGGGAATGGAGCCTGGGACCCTTCAGTCCACAGACCGATGTTCTACCCCAAACCAGCCAGGCCCAGCCTCGTTGTCGACAAAACACCCCCCTTTCAGTGCCTCCTTCATAGAAACGCGGCCTGACACTCAAGCAGCGTCAGGGCGGATGTGACGGGCGGCGTCCACTCCCGACCACTGTCCCGGTCCTCCTCCTCCCCGAGGGCCATGGGGCAGGCACCAGAACTGGACGCTGGGATTCTCGGCTTCTGGAGAGGACCTGGCCTGATGGGCACACGGCGCCCCCACTCTGTTATCTGAGTAGGAGAACGGAGGTCCCGCATTGGACCGGGTCTGAGACATGGCGTCACCACAGACAGGACGGAGCGCCTGTCCTTGCCTACGAGAAGCCCTGGGCCCAGTGACTGCTCCACGACAGGTCCCGGGCTGGACTCCTAACGGGGCGAGCGCTGGTGGAATGAATGGACCTTTCACAGAAGTCACAGGGCGGGACGCCTCATCACTCACTACGCTCACCAGGCCCAGCGGGACGGGAGGCCCATAACACCGGCCATTGTTGTAGCCACAGGGGACGAGGTTCTAGGTTAGGATCCTGCCTCCCTAACGAAACCACGTATCTGTGTGTCTGCCTCGGAAAATGTTACTCAACTCAAGAGGAAACCATGGCCCGGCCAGTGTGGCTCAGGGGCTGAGCATCGACCTATGAACCAGGAGGTCACGGTTGGATTCCTGGTCAGGGCTCATGCCTGGGTTGTGGGCTCCATCCCTAGCGTGTGGTGTGTAAGAGGCAGCCGATCCATGATTCTCTCTCATCACTGATGTTTCTCTCTCTCCCTCTCCCTTCCTCTCTGACATCAATAAAAATATATTTTAAAAAAGAGAGAAACATGGACAGTAAGTGCCTGGGGGGATGGGCTCCGAGTGACAGAAGTGAACTTCACGGGGCGGAACCCAGAGGTTACGGACACGAGAGGGAAACGTGTGTGTCGGGCGCGTGACCTGGGTGTGTAGCTCCCCCGCGGGGCAGTGGGATATTCTGACACACACCCACTCTTGGGGGGAAGAGCCCCTGACTCCCATGGCCTCACGGGGACGCGCCCTCACCGATCTCGAAGTCCTCGTCCTCACGCAGCAGCTCCGCCTGCGGGACGGCCGGGGGCGGCGGGCACTTCTTGAGCTGAAACGCTACGGGGTTGACGAGAAAGAAAAGCTGCAGTTACTTTTGCTGCATAAACACGATGATCCCCGTCACGCCCCTGTGCTGCTGGCATCTGGGCACACCGCCGTGTCCGTGCCAGGAGGTCGTGGATTTATAATGCTCTCAGCTCCACTGCTCACAGGACAAGTTAGTGCCCAGAGCATCTACCGCCGAAGAGAAAAGCTACGATTTAAACACGATGACCTCGTCACACGTCCCGGACACACGTGGGATTCCTAAGGGAAATGGTCCACCCGTGCCTGGTCCCACGTCCACGTCCACATTCAGGTCGGAGAAGGTCGCTGCCCCCACGACTTCCCTGGTGGCCGTCCTCATCCTCATGAGAGGTGAGGGACCCCCATGCGCTTCCCGTCCCTAGCGGTCGCTCTCACGCCCTCAGGGCTGGCTCTCGCCCGTATATAATCAATCGCACAGAGCGATGAGGGCAGCCATGAGATCGCCACGCGTGTCCGCGCATGCACATCAGAGCTTCACGTCCACACACCTCTCCTGGAATGAGTCCAAGCTGGTCGCAAAGCACAGCTCAGAAAGGCGGAAATAATAAAGACATTAAACAAAAGCGTGTCCCAGGCGCCCGGCCGGCCTGGCTCCGTGGTGAGGGCTGACCTGTGAACCGGGAGGTCGCAGCTCGATTCCCGGTCAGGCCATGGCCGGGTCGCAGGTTTGCTCCCGGGGGCCTCTGTCATCATGGATGCTCCTCCCTCCCTCCCTCTCCCTTCCTCTCAGAAGTCAACAAAGTATATTTTTCAAACGGCTTCCCAGGCAAGACCAGCTCGCGGGCTCCCGCTGGACGGGTGGGTGGGGACAGGAGAAGCGGTGAGGGGACCCCTGCCCAGGCCCGTGGGGGGGGGAGGGCGGGGGGCTCACCGTGGAAGTTGAGGACGAAGAAGCCGCCGTTGGAGAAGTCGCTGTGGAAGCCGAGCAGCACGTGGCGGGTGGAGCTGCGTGCGGTCTCCAGGGCTGTGTTCCCGCTGAAGACGCCGAGCTGGGCCGCGCTCTGGTCCGGGCCGTCCCTGGGGGAAGCGCCAGCCGCTGGAGGGAGGTCCGGGGGCTCCCAGGAGCCTCCCTGCTCCTCTGTCAGGTGGGCGCTGCTGTGGACGCGCCTGGAGATGCCCACGGACCCCCTGCACCCCGCTGGCCTTCCCGGGGAGTGGGAGCGACATGGCCACGGATTCCAGGACCCGCAAGACCAGGCATCACCCTCCTTCCAAAGCCCCACTTTCAGCCCTAAACCCAACGGCATCTCCGTGGTCCTGGGGGAGGTTTATGGAGGTCTTGCTACTGAATTGATATGATTTTAAAACACAGAATGAAATATTAGCATCTACGGGAAACTGTGGTTCTGGAAGCATCCCTGTCTCATGACGAGAGGAGCCTACCAGCTTTTCTGTAAGAAACAGAGCACACTCAGTCGGTAAAACAAATGGCCTCTACTACGCCCTGAGTTAGAGCGACCCTGGGTCATGCACCACACAGCACGCTCAGGCAGGCCACCTAAGGTCCTTCTCTACTTGTCCACCTTTCCTCAGGGACAGCCACATCCTCACGCCCTTCCTCAGCTGGGGGTCTGTGTCTCAGGGACATGGGAGGGGTCACAGGGGTGTCTGGGAGGTCACAGTGGTATCTGGGAGGTCACAGGGGTGTCTGGGAGGTCACAGTGGTATCTGGGAGGTCACAGGGGTGTCTGGGGGATCACAGTGGTGTCTGGGAGGTCACAGGGGTGTCTGGGGGTCACAGGGGTGTCTGGGAGGTCACAGGGGTGTCTGGGGGGGTCACAGGGGTGTCTGGGAGGTCACAGGGGTGTCTGGGGGGCACAGTGGTGTTTGGGGGGTCACAGTGGTGTCTGGGAGGTCACATGGGGTGTCTGGCAGACATAGGGGTGTCTGGGAGGACACAGGGGTGCCTGGGGGTCACAGGGGTGTCTGGGATATCACAAGGTGTCTGGGAGGTCACAGTGGTGTCTGGGAGGTGTTACAGGGGTGTCTAGGAGGTCACATGGGGTGTCTGGGAGGACAGAGGGGTGTCTGGGGATCACAGGGGTGTCTGGGATGTCACAGGGGTGTCTGGGATGTCACAGGGGTGTCTGGGAGGTCACATGGGGTGTCTGGCGGACACAGGGGTGTCTGGGAGGACAGAGGGGTGTCTGGGGATCACAGGGGTGTCTGGGATATCACAAGATGTCTGGGAGGTCACAGTGGTGACTGGGAGGATACAGGGGTGTCTGGGAGGTCACAGTGGTGTCTGGGAGGTGTTACAGGGGTGTCTAGGAGGTCACATGGGGTGTCTGGGAGGTCACGGCCGGGGTGGCCGTACCACACGGCGATGTAGTCGTTGACGGCCTCGGTCTGCAGCAGCGTGAAGTTGATGTAGATGCCGTGGCCGGGCGGTGCGGTGAGCAGCCACAGGCAGTCCTGCAGCACCGGGTACTCGTCGGGGAAGCCGGGTGAGTAGATGGTGCCGTTGGGAGCCGAGATGTTGTAGCCACAGGGAGCTGAGGGGGGCAGAGGCCATGGAGACAAATGGTCAGCGTTAAAGGGACACAGGGAGCTCCTGGCGCCCTCAGCCCACGGGGTCCCTGGGAACCACGTTGTCAGAACAGTCCCCCTAAATCCTAAAGCCTTAGAAGACTGTGCTTCTCAGCTGCCTGTTCGGGTAACACATCCGCCAAACTTCCCGCCTCCTCCGGCCACAGTCCTCCCAGCATTAAGGGGGAAGCGCTGGGTCCAGTCTCCTGCGGGGAGTGGACAGCCCCGGCTGTCCCAGGCAGGATGAGGAGGGGATGATGCTTAAGCAGGAAACCGACTTGTCTGGTCTAAGCGAGATTTCAAGCCAATTTCATGGGCTGAGGCCGCAGCATCCTGTCTATTTGCTTTGAAACAGAAGCACTATCGCCGCCTCGCAGATCTGCGCCTGGAGGAAGGAGATAAAGCGATGCGCGGGCGTCACTGCCCGCCGGTCCCGCCAGCTCAGCCGGGAGAGGCAGCGCCACCCGTCAGGCGCTCCTAGTTCACTTCCCATGCTATCCGCGGTCGCCATGGCAACCGTCATTCTTGTTTATAAACGATGCAATGGCCACCCGTTAGCAGGATCACCTGAGATGCGATCTGTCACTCAGATGGCAGCATCACACGGCAGAACCGGAGACAGCAGACTTCATGGAACGGAAACCCCACGGGTGTGCTACGCGTGTGTTAGCAGCATGTGTGGGGCTTTCAAAGACTTGCCACCAGCGGTGCAGCATTTAAGGGGAACGAAGAGGCCAAAATAGATGAAAATAATAGGAAGAAAAGCTCCCTGACCATGAGAAGTCATGAGGGACAGTGTCGGCTGCATCACGGTGCAGGTGCAGGTGCAGGTGCAGGTGCAGGTGCAGGTGCAGGTACAGCTGGTCTCGGAGGAGGTGGGGCCACAAGGCGGGTGGCCTGGCTGGGCTCTGGGATAAATGCATCAGCAGCAGGGGCTGCGGACACACTGGGCGAGTTCCACGGTGCAGTTTAAGTGGGGTTTGGAGTCGGAGAAACTTTGCTTGATAACCTAGAAAGTACTTCAGAACCTGCGCCGCGGGGCCACGGAGCCCCTGCAGTCACGCAGGCCGGTGGGTGGCCCGGGACAGGTCCTGCTCCTCTCCCGCCTGCGGAGGCCAAGTGCTGGCTTCCCGCGGGGCCTCCAGGAGAACCGGCCTCTTCCTTCTAAAACTCACGCAGACCTCACAGCCTCTGACCCCTTGGGGGAGGGGTTTCCTGTCTTTATCAATCAACTTGGTAAACCTTAACGTTAACAATATGCACATCATAATTTACCGTTTATTTCAGAGAGAGAAACACGGATGGGAACGAGGCACAGGGCGCAGCTGCCTCCTGCACGCCCCCGGCTGGGGATGGAGCCTGAAGCCAGGGGGTGTGCCCTGACCTCTGACCCCTGACCCGGGGCCATGCCAGCGACCTCTGGTGCGTGGACGAGGCTCACCCCCGAGCCACACCGCAGGGCCAGCAGATACTCTGGCCGGTTGGACTTCTCATGTTATTATGCAATCCAGGGGTTTCTTGCTGACAAAGCCTGTCGCTTTAAAAGAAGCTGCCAGGTGTTGTCCTGGTCATTCCCTCTGACCCGTGGCTCCCGCCACAGGCGCTAATGCATGTAAAGTGAGGTGTCAGGTGACAGCGTTTAGACTTGTAAAAGTACCGTAAGAGAATGTTGACATAAATATTTCAGTGGAAAAGGATCAATTAGGTCAACAGAATACTTTGTTTTTGAGCTACCATTTGTAAGTGTAGATGCATATGCAATTATCAAATTACATTTAGCGCATGAATAAACCACAGTCTTTAGACACTATAACAATTATCACCCACTTTTCTTAAAAACGGAGACTTCGGTATAATTATAAGTTACTGGCAAAATTAATGCAGTCTCAACTTTCTCGTCACTGTCAGACATACTCTCTTATTTATTTCAAGGTTATCACACTTTGGGTCTATTTTCCCAGATGGGTTTGAAATATAGTAACTTTACACAACAGATCCTTATGCAAATGAAGATACTGCTCTTTTACGCATGTCCAGACAAACTGGCTTCACATATTCCGGGGAGGTTGATGCTTTCAGATTTAGAATTTTGAATCTCAATTGCTGAATTGCCGTTTTTAATAAAGACCCCCAGACCCTGTTTGGAGCTTCTTCTGTTTTTTCCCTAAGACCCTCCTGGGGCGCGAGGGGCTGGGCCTGTGAGGTGGCCGCTCAGTACCGCTGCCCTGTGTCCCACCACAGCCCTGCGGACCCGAGCCCTCGGCTGATAAAGGTCCAGCCACTGAAGCTGACGGGCGACCGGCCGAGCGTCTGTCCTGTGAGGGGCCCTGTGTCCCCGCTGCCCCGGCGATCCCTGCGCAGACCTCCATTCTCGGGAAAAGCACCTTTTTATTATAGAGCTTTCTGGAAACACGCCTTCCAGGAATAAAGTAAACTTGTTTGAAAACAATGCCCTCTGCGGAAGTTCTGAATTTAATTCAATATGGAGGGTGTTATATACACACAGGGTGATGCTTAGAAAATTTATTTAGGACAAGATTTTACATGGATCTTCTATGTCCCTTCTTATTCTGTGTAGGGCTTTCTAGGCATGGAGAGGGATGTTATGGTAAAGGCATCTGCGCATTAAATCATCTGACCTTGCCCAAGGACAGGCCTGTGGTTGGCCATGGGTTCTAGAAGGTCATGTATGGCCCCCCTGACAGGACTGTCTGTGTTTCACCTGGGGGCTGGCCACACCCAACCGGCCGAGGGCAGGACTGGCCACCCAGGAAGTCCAGCCAGGGGACCTGGGTGGGACCTCCATCAGGATATCAGCTGGTCTGGAAACGGGTACCAACCATCGGACGATCTATGGACCCTCCCATGTCACGGCGCCCAGTAGAAACCTGGACACGAAGCCCAGCGAGCCTCCAGGTTGGTCATGGTCTGTGCATGCTGTCCCAGGTCAGTTCCGAGAACCAGGGGCCTCCTGGACCCGCCACGCCTACCCCCCCTCGCCTGCCCCTCTTTCCTGTGGTGATTTCATTGGGCCTTTCCCTGTTGTAAATCAGCCCCTGAGTCCAACAGCTTAGGGGTCCTGCGTCCCAGTGTGCTGTCCAGCCTCGGGGTGGCTTTGGGCACTCCCCAAACTACCCCTGGGGGCGGGCGGCTTGGATGCAGGAGGACCTTAGCTTTGCAGTGTGGCCGACTGTGGGTGGTCCTGCAGCCCTGATGCAGGTGCAAGAGATGGCATCACCCTCAAGCCACAGAGAAGATGCGGTGAGTTACCGCCAACCCATCAGATAACTCTGAGCCAGCAGTTTTCTCCATGTTGGAAACTGGGCTGAAAAAGCAATGAGATCTAATTAAATACTTAATTCTGTTTTTTACAGCAAGCCAAGAAGCCCCCATTTACATATGAAAAGATTCTGGCAAAAATTACAAATTAAAAGAAAGGGTTTAATCCTGACTATTCAAAGTAATTTATGCATATAAATATAATGGGGAATAGGATGAAAGTTCTTTTAAGTGATTTAATGAAACACCAGGTATGCAACTGCTATTCTTAGTTTTAAAATATAATTTTAATATGCTATTTTAAATTTGCATCACACTATGACTAATAATTTGAAATAATTAAATTTGTATTAGGCTAAGATAATTTTTTAAAATACAGCTAAAGTCTGGCTGGTGTGGCTCAGTAGGCTGAGCACTGCTGTCCACGCACCAGCAGGTCAGAGTTTGATTCCAAGTCAGGGCACGTGCCCGGTTATGGGCTCCATCCCCAGCCGGGGGCGTGCAGGAGGCAGCCGATTGAAGTTTCTCTCTCATCATGGATGTTTCTCTCTCTCTCTCTCCCTCTCCCTTCCTCTCTGAAATCAATAAAAACATATTAAAAAATAAATACGTAAAATAAAATACAGCTAAAGTTTGCTATAGTTGTTTTTATAACGGCATAGAATGGAAAAACACGGTTGAAAACTAGGCTGTCAAACACCCATTGATGTTGTTTTTTTCTTTTTCCTTCTTCAGTAGAAATGCAAGCACAGCCAGTCCCCATTCCCTCTGCGCAGTGGGACACGAGTATTTAACATTTCAAAGGTCCACAGAGTTGGCATTTTCATTATGTTTTCACTCAGAGCTACTGTATTTATAATGTGGAAGTATCAGGGCTCCAGTAACTTTTCTGTCTGAAATGCAATCTTCAGAAACAAAGTCCTTGATCTGTTTACATTAACCTGAGGTTGCAAACATTCCCCCGTTACCCTAAGTGTCCAGCAGCCAACAGGAGGCTCCCAGGGACGCAGACACCGCCCCCTGCCACGCCCACCAGCTGACTCCAGCGGCTCCAGGAGCCCTCCCCACCACCAGTGGATTCGCAGCGTTATTTTCCCTGAGAGGGTCCCACATTAACCCTTTGCGTAAATGGTCTGAGTCTTAGACCAGCCGTGGGCAAACTACGGCCCGCGGGCCGGATCCGGCCCGTTTGAAATGAATAAAACTAAAAAAAAAAACAGACCGTACCCTTTTATGTAATGATGTTTACTTTGAATTTATATTAGTTCACACAAACACTCCATCCATGCTTTTGTTCCGGCTCTCCGGTCCAGTTTAAGAACCCATTGTGGCCCTCGAGTCAAAAAGTTTGCCCACCCCTGGGTTAGACCCTGTGCTTTTCCCCGGACAGTCTCCACCTCCCAGTAGCAAAACGGTGTGCGTGCTTCCAGCCCCACTCCCCAAATAAAACCAGCTTTCTGAACCAGAGAAGCGATATACGATGGTGACAGAAGTTAAGCCGTAAAAAATCTCCGGGGTGGAATTGCTAACCACCCTCCCGCCTCTCATCTCACCCTAACAGTGCCCTTCCCTTCCCTTCCCAAGCAAACACCGTCTTCTGTGTCTGAAATCCACCCAAGCAGTCTGCTCGTCTCTGGTTTTGCATAACAAATATTTGTGTTTATTATGACATCCTTGTCATTTCCTTGGGGGCAAGACTGATTTATGCACCTTTTCTTAACCTACTGGCCCAAGACGTGTTCCTGAATCCTAAGTAGAATGAGTTGGACATAACAGATCCCAATAAATATTTGTTGAACAAATTAATGCATTCTCGGATGAGTTCTTGTAATATTCAAGGCACCGTTATCTACGAGAAGAGCTACCTGGCTCCCGGGAGGAACGGCTGACCTACCGTCACACCTGGGGAAGGGGTGGCTCCAGCTTCGGTCGGTCCCGTGCTGACAGGTGAGGACGGGGTGGCCGATGAGAATGTACCCGGGGTAACACTGGAAGGAGATGGACTGGCCCACGCTGTAGTCGGAGCCGACCAGGTACCCGTTGGGGAAGGGGGGCGGGTCCGGGCAGTTCTGCAGCTCATAGGCTGAAACACACAGAGCCAGGTCATCAATACCACGTGACTGAGTCACGGGCTGAAACACACAGTCAGGTCATGAATGCCACGTGAGTTAGTCTGGAATGCAGAGGAGGAGAACGGTTACATTTAGCTTCTGGAGATGAACTTTAAAAAAAAAGTTTTTCTTTAAAAAAAAAAAAATTCCAAGTTGCCAGTTGCCATGGGAAGCAAAACAGTAACTATTGGTAGAATTGTAACAATTTGCGGCTATGCTTACCGTGTGCATTAGAAGTAATACAACCCAGACCCAAAACACACTTGACAATGTGTATCCTCACCCAATGATATTATTTCCATTGACTTCGAGAGGGAGTAGGAGGGAGGGAGGAGGGAGACAGACAAACATCGATCGGTCGCCTACCCCATGCATGAGCCCTGACAGGTGAGGATGAACCTACCACTGAGGAACGTGCTCTTGACTGGGAATTGAACCCTAGACCCTCGGTCCACGGACCGATGCTCTAACCACTGAGCCACTGGCCAGGGCTGTTATTTGTGTTTAAAGGCACTCGGACATCCAGCAGGAGGAAAACGGAAGAGCGGGACTCTGACCACAAGCCCTTTCGTCTCCGGGGGCCCAAGCCCTTCCCACTCAAGTGTTTCGGCGTTGAGCAACGATGCTTTATGACGTAAAATAGGAAAAGACACAGAGGGAGGGAGGGAGGGAGGGAGGAGATAAATATTCAATTCCTCCAAATGTCAAATGACAGAAACCAAAACGGTAAGGAAAGCCCCTAAAATCCTCCATTTCAAAAATAGTATAAAAAACCCAAGGACCAATATGGCTACTCCAATGCCACAAGCGGGAGCTAGCTCACAGAACCTCATCTTTCCCAGGGGTCCCCTCGCTGGGACCAGGAAAGCTTCTGTTCCTCCCACCTGTCCGTCTCACGCAGGATTTGCGTCCGTGTTTCAGTGGTCGGTGCTTGATGTCACCCCGTGTTTCAACGATAGATGTAACCCCCACGGGGCCACGCAGCCAGCCGGCTAACAGCCATGGTGTTTCCTGACGCTTCTCTCATTAGCTGACACAAATCTCCACCCTTTCATCTGCTCTCCAGCTCTTGAGTCAGGAGTAGGGCACGTGAACGCGGCTTTATGGAGCATGGCTCTCGAACTCCATTTCTCAATCTCGAAGGAGCCATTTAGCTCCGCGGCAGCTACATCTGCAAGCGACATCTTTGACCTTCAAGGGGCCATCAATATACGACAAGGGGGGGAGGGAGAGGTACCGCACAGACATCGCCGAGAATGACAAGGCTTATCTGCGTGATCCATACGTCTTCCCATGAGTTATTCAGCAGGCGCTTAACTCACAAATCGCGTGTGGCACTGAGGAATTCTGATGTGACATAGGAGCCAAGGTGCGTCACTTCAACCATCTATGCTTTTGGTGAAATGAACGATCTCGTTACCATCCCTGTCAGAGGTGGCGCCGGGAGCAGTGACAGCGCCTCCACCGCATGCCCCGTCTGTCTTCTGTTTTATTTGGGAATCTCTCAAGGGCAGCAAATTCATTACTGACAATAAAAATATGTTGTTTAGGGTTTTTAAAATGTGGATCCTTAAACTTAGAGTCAGGTGTCAAGTAAATGAAGTGTTCACTCAGCCAACCAGAGGTGTGGCCTCGATGAGGGCGCCCAGCCCAGAGGCCCGAAGGCCAGGCCGACGGCACCGGTGGCCGCGGCCGGCAGGAGCGAAGGGAACTCGGAAGCCAGTGGTTTCCGACTGGGAAAGGGGCCTCCACGCTGACACCCCAGGGGCTGTCCCCAGTGTGGCTGCTGGATAAATAGTCCCGATGCTGACATTGCAAGAGCAAAAGGGAGAGTGGGCCTGTGGGCATTTCACAGACTATGTGACGTCCAGTTCCAAATCTAGACACTTTAGAAATGGTTACGTTGAGCTAACCCATCCTCCAGGGACTTCCCGCTGCGGGTGGGGAGAGGTCTAGGCGTGATGGGTTAGACCAGTGGTGGCGAACCTATGACACGCGTGTCAGAGGTGACACGCGAACTCATTTCTTTGGTTGATTTTTCTTTGTTAAATGGCATTTAAATAAATAAAATAAATATAAAAAATATAAGTCTTTGTTTTACTATGGTTGCAAAGTAACTTTGGTTACTATGGTTACATATGGTTCTATATGTGACACGGCATCAGAGTTAAGTTAGGGTTTTTCAAAATGCTGACACGCCGAGCTCAAAAGGTTCGCCATCGCTGGCTTAGACCTGTGCCCCACCCATCCTGGCCCCTGGCTCCCGAGAAGGGAGGGCAGGTTCTTAACAGGAATGAGCGTGACCGCACAGCCTCATGTCCTCCCTTCTCCCCCCTCCCCGCTCTGCGCTCAGCTCTGGCCTGGAGACGCCCCCCAGGCCCCAGGGCCTCCTCACTCACAACCTCCCCGGGGGCATCTGCCATGTCCCGCCACCCCCCCCCCCCCGCTGCCCCCCAAGGCCACAGAAGGTGTTTCCCTCAAACGCCTGCTATTTCTTCAGCGACAGGAAGTCTCACAGGGATTTTGCTTTGGTCTCGAAGATCTGCATTAAGGATGTGCATTTCCCACTAAACAATGAAGCTGTTTAATGCAGAACTCGTCTTATTGGAACCCCTGCCTCTTAGCCCAGACACTGAATTCCAGATCCGGCCTAAGGAATGGGTAGCTAACCTTTGAAGAAAATCTACATACATGACAACAGGTGCAGGTTACAGGGAACTCGGTACGTTACGAGACACCATCAGGATAGTTTGTCAAATATCGGAACCGTTACGCCCTGATCTGCACTCGGAATCTAAGCCGACCGACGCTGAGCTGTCACTGTTGTAGGTGTGAACGGGTCAGACTGAGGGAGGGTGACGTGGGGATGAGAAGTGGGCAGACGCGGGCGCACGCGGAGCCGTGCTGGCAGGTGCCGCGTCACAGTCCTCATGAGCCTTTACCTCCCTCTTCAGTTTCCCTTCCGTCCGGTTCCTGTTTTAAGAAGCCCCAGTTCTGGAAATCTACACCTATAATTTATAGGGACAACTTCGGCAATCGGGTCCAAAAGTCCCTTCAGGAATGAAAGAGTGTAGCTCTGTCTTCGAGAAAACCAGCGATTTAGCCACTTCAAAGAAGCAGGCCCTACTTTTGACATTTTCAACTTCATCCGACTTAACAAGAGTCAGGAAAAGGCCAGCGGAATTATTTGGAGTGGAATGAACATGCTGAACTTTTTCACACGTCAAAAACGCTAGAATGGCTGATCCAAACCTCCCTTAGAGGTCTCATGCTTTGATCGCTCAAGGAAGAATACAGTCCGCTCACTGCCTTTTTTCCGGGCGTAATTGGAATAAGGGCTGGACAGCACACAGGGCCCTGATTCCAGATTGGGAAGAGGCCAGCGCGTGGGAGACCCTGCCCCGCCCACAGCCACGATGGAGGGACGCCCACACCGCCGTCCTGGCGGGACCCGACCTCCATGTGGCGAGGCGGACACATGGCAGGCGAGGAGACAACGTGACCATGAAGCCACGTGGCTGGAGGAGTGTGGCGGTGGCCACGGAGATTGAGGGCAGCGGGTGGGCGGTGAGGGAGACATGGACTGTGCCCTCGGGGTCTGTGTCCTTCCTGATAGGACGAGGACAGCAGTGACCCCACCAGGGGTCAGCAGAGCCCCCCCAAATGAGTCCAGCGGTATGGTGTCCATGCATCGTGTGGGGGGGTGGGGGGAGGTGTGTGGGGGGTGGGCCTCACCTCGGTAGGCCAGCCGGAAGCCCTGCCGGCTCTGGGAGTGGTCGCTGGAGAAGCGGACGAGGGTCTCGTGGGTGGTGCTGAGCAGCGCGGCCGGCAGGTCGGGGCCGCTGAACTGGCCGAGCAGTGGGCTGGTGGGGTGCGGCCCGTTCTGGATCTCCAGGAAGTCGTGGTTGGCCTCCGTGGAGAAGTTCAGGAACCGGATGTGCGCGCCTGCGGGAACACGTGCGAGATAAGGGAGCGTCACCATCGGCGCTTAGAGGCCTAGCTCATCAGAGGTGACTGCCCCTGATCCGCGTCCCCAAGCACCGTCCTGTCCCTCCGGGGGCCCAGGGCGCCGTGGAGGAGGTTGCTCGCTCGTTTCGGATTAAAATAGATGCGGTTCCGTCCCCGCCGCCCCCTCGAAGCTGTGGGACCTTCATCTGTGCCATTAGAGTCCCGAGCGACTCTCTATGAAAGAGGCCTGCGACCAGCTGTGCCACGGGGACGCGGGCATCGCTGCCTGGCTCTGGGGCGGAGGCGGGTTCTGCCCGCAGCTGCTCTAAGGCTCACAGCGCGCACGCAGATGGGACTCGCTGCCGGGCACCCAGTGGCACCAAGGACGGACCGAAGCAGCCCAGAACTCAGCGCCACAAACCAACGGACCGTCCAGGGCAGGGCTAATCAAACTTTTTAAACAGGGGCCAGTTCACTGTCCCTCAGACCGTTGGAGGGCCGGACTATAGTTTAAAAAAAAACTATGAACAAATTCCTATGCACCCTGCACATATCTTATTTTGAAGTAAAAAAACAAATGTTTTCGGCGGGCCGCATGTGGCCCGCGGGCCGGAGTTTGAGGACCCCTGGTCCAGGGGCTTCTCAACGCCCGGCCGCGGCCAGGGGTTTGCCGGTCAGCGAGCCGTGCGTTCACTTGGTTTTGCAAGCAAAGCCAGTCACAGCTGTTTGCAGGAAACCCATCCACTGGACCCCTGTCACTCCCACAACCCAGTCTCCCAGCCTGGCCCGGGCGACGGATGGGAGACAGTCCAGGTGACCCGGCTGCTGTGGCCACGGGACCCGGGCACGAGATATGGACGGCGGGTAAGGCGGGCGCGGTGGCGTCAGGATGCTGGGCCGTGGCATCGGGAACATTCACTTGACGACTGTGTCTGAAAGGCCCGACTCTCTCACCGGCTGATAGCGCCTGAAGCGAGCGTGTTTACATGAACCGATGCGAGGGACGCGGGCTGGTACAGCCTCCCGGGGAGCTCGACAGCTCACGGATTGTTCCGCCGGCGCCTCGGAAAAGCGTTCCTCGTGCCACTCTCCTGCTCTCGAAAGATAAGGAGGGCTTTCATTTCTCTTTCCATCTCGCAGACTCGTTTCCGGGGCTTGGAGACCGGCAATAACGCGCACGCCTTGCCCCCCCTCAAGGGCGAGTGCTGAGAACGGAAAGCAGACCTGCCCGCGTGTGCTGGCAGGAAGCTGGGCTGTCCTGGGCCAGAAGCAGAGGAAGGGAAGGAGAAAGCCTCAGGGGACAGCGGGAGGGAAGAGGGGCCTACACGTGCTCAGTACAATGCACCGTCCTCCAACCTCCAACTCAACCACGCGGGAATGTGAGGAGGAAGAAATCGGGCCCTTGCTGGCTGGGCGCAGTGTTCGCCGACTGCCTGCCCGGGATCCAACGTACCAAGGAGCTCTTGTCCCCAGTTCCCCAGGAAGTCACTATTGTTGTCCTCGCAAAGTCACAGGGAGCAGGCCCAGGCTCGGCGGGGCGCGGTGGGGTGCCCATGGCAGCGGGGACACAGCGTCCGGCACGCCCACCCTGGCGGACAGCGCCCTGCCCTGTCCCTGCTTAGCGGGCGACGTGCTAGACAAGAGCCACAGCCTCATGAGCGGGAACGAGGGCGGTCCCCAGTCCTTCTGGGGGAACTCCTATCCGGACGGCCCAGCCCGGGCTGGAAGAGGAAGGGGGGGAGGAGGAGCACGTGGGATCCCAGGAGACGCCGAGGGGGCAGGGAGCAGAGGAAACAGGAGGGAAGAGGGACCTTGAACTTCAACCACAATGTAGCATCATTTCAGAAGGTGGGGTGCAATGCACATGGGCCATCTGACTCTACACGCGTGTGCAGGCGCAGCCAGGAGGCAGGTCCCGGTCGGCAGGGGCCGGGGGCTCCACCTGGGGGCACGGGTGCCGCCAAAGGCAGCCCCTCTGTGGACCCAAAGCTCCGCGACAACTTGAACAGCAAACAGGGTTTCCTTGAAGAGACAATGACACGCAGCCATTTTCTTCTAAGTCCCAGCAAATGTGTTCACGCAAAAGGAAGTCGGAAGCAGGGAACAAAGCGGCAGAGAGACGGAGAGATCGGTTGGGGACGGGGAGAAGCTGGGGGAGGGGGCCGGGGGAGGGAAGGACGGCCAGTGGCCCTCTCTGCCCCTCACTTCTGGCCTGTCCCCCCACAGGCTGTGATGGGGGACACCCCGCCGCTTAGGGAGCCGCACCCAGAGCCCCATGCGGCTGCTCATCAGCTGCTGAATTACCATAAAACCCGCCTTCGTTAGTGCGAGGCCCCAACTCTAAGGGAGAGTGTTGTCACTAATACACACACTGTCTAGCCATCGTGTGTGTGTGTGTGTGTGTGTGTGTGTGTGTGTGTGTGTGTGTGACTGTGCAGGCCCCGGACTCCTGTGGCCCCCAGTTCCCTCAACGCTATCACACCGTCGCCAGGAGCTGGATGAGACGGGACCCGGGACTAGCAGACACAGCTGCTGAGTCGCCACCCGCCCGCCCATCTGAGCGGGAAGGAGGGTCCAGGCCGGCGGACACTCACACCCTTTCACTTTGGGTTAGAAGCCGAATCGCAGGGAAGCGGTGCAAGGTGCCCGTTCCCAGTGGCAGCCAGCAGATGGCTTATCCAGGGGACGGGCTGAAATTCACGGGTGACACCGTCGAGAAGAAATGAAAGCAGCCGATCCGGGGAAACTATTAGAGGTGCCCAGGCCGCCAGCGCACGGGGGCCAGTGACAGCCGCCCACGGACGTGAGGTTAAGCTGGGAATGGAGTGCTGACACTGCAGCCCCATGAGCCACATGAGCATGGGGAGCAGGGCAGCGTCCACACCCAGCAGCCCCTGGCACGTGGGGACAGTGGCGCCCGGGCCTGATCTGTTTCAGGGGTGACTCGCGCTCTCCTCTTCAGCCAGCTGGGTCCACTCTGACACCTCAGAGCGAGCACCCCAGGACTGAGATACACATAACCTAGCTCCCCTTCATCATCTCCCCGAAGACCGGGAAAACACGCTTTATATTTCTTAATTGATTTTTAAAAAGAGAGATGGAAACATCGATGAGAAAAAATCACTAATGGGCTGCCTCCTACATGTGCCCTCCTGGTGATCGAGCCGCAACCCGGGCATGTGCCCCGACCAGGAATGGTTCATAGGTTGGTGCTCAACCACTGAGCCACACTGGCCGGGCTGTGCAGTTAATTCTTTTTTTTTTTTTGAATATATTTTATTGATTTTTTACAGAGAGGAAGGGAGAGGGATAGAGAGTTAGAAACATCAATGAGAGAGAAACATCGATCAGCTGCCTCCTGCACATCCCCCACTGGAGATGTGCCTGCAACCAAGGTACCTGCCCTTAACTGGAATCAAACCTGGGACCCTTGAGTCCGCAGGCTGATGCTCTATCCACTGAGCCAAACCGGTTACTAATTCTTGAAAACTGAACACTGACATACTTCTCCTTCACTGTACTGTATTCTGGGTGCGCACTCGCAGGGAGAGAACCGCGGTGCCCGCACTGTCCGCCCTCACTCACGAAAACAAAGAAATTCTGAGTCGGCTGCGAAAGCAACATGCACCAGCACCCGACTGTGTGAAAGCAAAGAAAGCGGCACAAAGCCAGGGGCGGCTGGGGTCAGCGCCGCAAGTGCGTCCCCACCCCGGGAGGGGTCACCACTCAGACGTGCCCCCACACGGGAGGGGTCCCCACTCAGACGCACCCCCACCCCGGGAGGGGTCACCACTCAGACGCGCCCCCACACAGAGGGGTCACCACTCAGACGCGCCCCCACACAGAGGGGTCCCCACTCAGACGCGCCCCCACACAGAGGGGTCCCCACTCAGATGTGCCCCCACACGGGAGGGGTCACTACTCAGACGCGCACCCACACGGGAGAGGTCACCACTCAGACGCGCCCCCACACAGAGGGGTCACCACTCAGACGCGCCCCCACACAGAGGGGTCCCCACACAGGGGAGGGGTCACCACTCATGGCTACTCACTTCCCGGGAAGATGCCACAGCGGCTGCAGGGGAGATGGGGACCTGGGCCCATGACAGCCCTGGCCTGGGTGTGGCAAATGGAGTGAGTGCACCTCACAAAGAAGAAACAGACCAGACAGAGACAGACTCAGGGACACAGAACAGAAGGGGTCGCCAGAGGCGGGAGGGGAGGAGACGGAGTGGCTGGAAAAGGTGGGCGAGAATAAGGACAGACTCCCCGTTATGCACACATCCGTCCGGGATGGAATTCACACACAGCCCCGAGAACAGAGCCAGGGCTGTGATAGCTCTGCAGGGTGACGGGGCTGCCAGGTGTCTGGGGGTGATCACAGTGTAAGCTCTATAGGTGCCGAGTCACTAGGGGGCACACCTGAATGTCACATACGACTGCACGTCAACTGCACTTCAATAAGAAAGCTTGAGAAGGAAACACAGCCCTGTCTCTCCCACCCCCGATTCCCGAGTCAGACGACTGCACCCCCACATCGCACCCCCAGGTCCCCACAGCGAGAATCAGACCCAGCAAACCAGGGGACATGAGCTTCACACGTGGGGTGCCCATCCAGTGGACATGCGCCTCACATGTGGGGTGCCCATCCAGTGGACATGAGCCTCACATGTGGGGTGCCCATCAGTGGACATGCGCCTCACATGTGGGGTGCCCATCAGTAGACATGCGCCTCACATGTGGGGTGCCCGTCCAGTGGACATGCGCCTCACATGTGGGGTGCCCATCAGTGGACATGCGCCTCACACGTGGGGTGCCCATCCAGTGGACATGCGCCTCACATGTGGGGTGCCCATCCAGTGGACATGAGCCTCACATGTGGGGTGCCCATCAGTGGACATGCGCCTCACACGTGGGGTGCCCGTCCAGTGGACATGAGCCTCACACGTGGGGTGCCCGTCCAGTGGACATGCGCCTCACATGTGGGGTGCCCGTCCAGTGGACATGCGCCTCACACATGGGGTGCCCGTCCAGTGGACATGCGCCTCACATGTGGGGTGCTCATCCAGTGGACATGCGCCTCACATGTGGGGTGCCCATCAGTGGACATGCACCTCACATGTGGGGTGCCCGTCCAGTGGACATGCGCCTCACACGTGGGGTGCCCGTCCAGTGGACATGAGCCTCACATGTGGGGTGCCCATCAGTGGACATGCGCCTCACACATGGGGTGCCTGTCCAGTGGACATGAGCCTCACATTTGGGGGTGCCCGTCCAGGCCCCCATCTTTCCCTGGAGTAACGCTCCATGTCTGTGCACAGCACGCTCACGTCCTCACGCCTGACCCTGGCTTGCGGGCCGCAGCCCATCCTTCCACAAACAGCCGCGCTGCCCCCGGCACAGGGCCTCCGGGCAAAGCTCTGAGCACATCCTACAGACACGACCTCTTTCCAGGCAGCAATGTCCGCGTGCTGTGTTCACGCGTCTCGCCCAGCATCCCCGGGCGACCGTGACTTAGTGAGCGAGCCTCAGGGTCTCGGACCGGACCCCAAGTGTCTGTGACACGCCCACCGCAGGCGCTGCTCTTCAGAAAGTCGCCGGTGGGACAGCCCCAGCGATGAACTAGAATGCAGAGGCAACCACGAGGCGTCAGGGAAAGGCATGGTGGGAAATCCAACTTTCGCAAAAACCATGTGTTTCCACAGAAGGCCAAGGTGAGCTGCCAGCTACACAGCAGCTAAAATCAGGACTTATTGAAGGCTAGAGGCCCGGGGCACGAATCCGTGCAAGAGTAGGCCTTCCTTCCCTGGCTGCCAGCACCGGCTTCCCTTGGGCACCCGGGACCCGGGCTTCCCTCGCAGCCCTGGCTTCGTCCGGAAGGTTGCCTGGAAGGATGTCCGGTCCAATTAGCATATTACGCTTTTATTAGTAATACATGACTACCCTGAGTGTTCGGCCCCAGCTTCGTGGAAACCCGTCCCCACTTCCAGGGATAGCCGCCCTCACGTCAGCAGCACCAGGCGGCTCTCCCTCAGCCGTGCTGCCAGGCTGCGGGTGGAGAGTGGGTGCTCGGAGCCCCCGCGCGCTCACTCACCATGGCCCACGGGCAGGGCGATCCGCCAGCTGCAGTGCAGGTTGCTGGGGTAGGCGCCAGGGAAGCCGGGGCTCAGGATCACGCCGGCCAGGCTGCTCAGCGTCCCCCCGCACGTCGCTGCCGGAGGGAGCACAGGTTACATGTGAGTTTCTTCCTGAGGACTATGATTTCTCAAAACACAGATTTCCGAGAGCCTGGAAGTCACTGTCATCTCTGTGTGATTCCCAGTCCTGACCCCCCAGCCGGCTCACGGGGAGCAACGCGCTGAAACCGCAGGAGGCCTTCCCGTCCATCACCGCCAGCTCTCGGGCCCTGGGGCCATCGCTAAGGACCACCTTTCCCTGTGCCTGGTGAGGGGCGCGGAGCCAGCAGGTGTGAGGGAGACCGTGCACCTTCCATCTGTGCTCACACCGAGGCACGTTAAGGAAAGATACAAACCGACTACATTTGGCCGGTACAGGGTAACGACTCAAAGGAGACATTTCCTCCGGGAATGCACACGCCAGCAATGGCACAGGGTTTGACTGCGTACCCTTTGTGAGTGAATTTCAGCTCAAGGTTTAAAATATCAAATTCCCAGTTTAAGGGAAAGTTAGGAAGGGCGATGAGAGTGAGAGGAGGCGTGGAGGGAGCAGGCGTCCCCGCGGTCCCACCCTAGTCCTCGTGTCCAGATGGAGCCGGGAGTTTAAATCCCACACGGATACCTTCACATGTTTACGGGGCCTGGAGTCTAGACATTTATTTTCACCCAGAAGTCACTTTCCCTCATAAAGCCCTGGTCACTAAGGACCACTGTCGCCTTGGCAACAGATACGATGCCGTGAGCACAGCCCGCAGGCGTGCTGCTGGGCGGACTCCTGACGGCAGGAGTTTGTTGTTTAAGTGGTTGGGCTCAGGTCTATTTCCTTCCGCGCACACTCCGTCCGCTTCCTGTTCAGGGCAGTCACGCTGTGTGTGACAGAAACCCCTAGAAGCCAGGGTGCGCGGGAGAGAGGCCAGGCTCAGGAGCCCTTCCTTCCGTGTGAACTTGAGGAGGGCACCTGCCCTGGCTGACGTGTCAGTGCCATCTTTGGAAAAATCAAAAGGGATGCAAAAAAAGATAAACATAATGGACACTTTTAAAAAGGACAGGTTCGCCCGGACGGCGTGGCTCAGGGGTTGAGCGTCGACCTATGAACCAGGAGGTCGTGGTTCGATTCCTGGTCAGGGCACATGCCTGGGTTGCGGGCTTGATCCCCAGTGGAGGGTGTGCAGGAGGCAGCCGATCAATGTTTTTTTCTCTCTCTCTCCCTTCCTCTCTGAAGTTAATAAAAATATATTTTAAAAAAGGACAGGCTTGTTATTGCTGATCTTCCCTCTTGTGTCAGGTCCTAAGGTGGCAGGCAGGGCGCTGCCCGTGGAGGGAGTGAGCGGGGTGGGGGTGGCAGGACTGGCCGTGCCCTGTGGGGACCAGGAGGGGGAGGGGAGCGGCTCGGGGTGCCGCCCAGGGGTCTGGACGGGCCACGGGCCGCGGGCGGGGTCCTACCGAGGCAGAGCGGCGGCGGGTAGTTCCAGCGGCGCACCGGGCCGGGCATGCAGGAGATGTGAGAGCGGCCCTGCGGAGAGAGGAGGCGAGTGAGGCCGCGGCCGGGCCGGCCCGAGGGGCGGTGCCGGGACGAGACTGTCCTCGCTTGGGCCGTGCTTTCTGGGGGTCATGGCCGGGCGACACTCTTCCAGAAGTTGGACGTGTCCCTATAGCACTGTCATTCACGAATCACGTATTTTGACTCAAAAGAGAATAACCTGACTCTTTCTCCTCATTTAACACACTCCCACGCCCCCGTCAGCAGTGATGGCCCCGCCGGCCCCTCTCCTGGGGCGCAGGGGGGATGTGAACTGAGCAAAGGACTGTGTGTCGCTTTATTCCATCACCAGAAGTTACAGCTCTCAGGCTCAGAGGCTGCACAGGGCCAGGAAATACGAAGTTTCCATGGAAGGGTGAAAGGTCAGCAGGACAGCATTGGGGTTTGAAAAGGTGTCGCTGTGCAAGTGGGAACCTGGGCTCTCACCTTCGTGAGTGGGAGGACCCTGAGGGGACCCACCCTGACACCAACCTGCGGCATGTACTCCCACCTGCAGTGTAACCCCCACCTGCAGCATTCACACCCACCTGCAGCTTTCACACCCACCTGCAGCGTTCACACCCACCTGCAGCATATACCCCCACATGCAGCCTATACCCCCACCTGCAGCCTATACCCCCACCTGCAGCGTGCACACCCACCGGCAGCGTGTACCCCCACTTGCAGAGTTCACACCCACCTGCAGCATTCACACCCACCTGCAGCATGCACACCCACCTGCAGCGTTCACACCCACCTGCAGCGTGCACACCCACCTGCAGCGTTCACACCCACCTGCAGCGTAACCCCCACCTGCGGCATGTACCCCCACCTGCAGTGTTCACACTCACCTGCAGCGTGTACCCCCACCTGCAGTGTTCACACCCACCTGCAGTGTGTACCCCCACCTGCAGTGTTCACACCCACCTGCAGCGTTACCCCCACCTGCAGTGTTCACACCCACCTGCAGTGTGTACCCCCACATGCAGTATTCACACCCACCTGAAGCGTGCACACCCACCTGCAGCGTTCACACCCACCTGCAGCATTCACACTCACCTGCAGCATGTACCCCCACCTGCAGCGTTCACACCCACCTGCAGTGTTCACACCCACCTGCAGCGTGTACCCCCACCTGCAGCGTGTACTCCCACCTGCAGTGTTCACACCCACCTGCAGCGTGTACCCCCACCTGCAGTGTTCACCACCACCTGCAGCGTGTACCCCCACCTGCAGCGTGTACCCCCACCTGCAGTGTTCACTCCCACCTTCAGTGTGTACCCCCTCCTGCAGTGTTCACACCCACCTGCAGTGTGTACCCCCACCTGCAGTGTTCACACCCACCTGCAGTGTGTACCCCCACATGCAGTATTCACACCCACCTACAGTGTTCACACCCACCTGCGGCATGTACCCCCACCTGCAGCGTTCACACTCACCTGCAGTGTTCACACTCACCTGCAGCGTGTACCCTGGCTCACACTGGAAGGCCAGCACGTCATTCACCATGTACCGGTCGCCTGTCTTGAGCCCGTTGCTGGGCAGGGCCGGCTCCTGGCACGCGGCGAGCCCCACGGCTGCGGAAACACAGACACAGGAGGTGGGAACACAACGCTGTTCTCGCACCTGCCTCGTCCGGTGCCCCCCCTGCTCCCCTGCAGGAAGCGCAGACCCCCGAGAAGACGGTGAGGGACCCTGAACCAGCTGTGAGCTCATTTTTAGTGTTCATTCGTTTGTTTTAATGGTGGTGGACTTCATTTTAAATATTAACGGATTCTATTCTTGATTTCTTCAAGTAAAACTTGTTACTTCCACTTCCATCTGAACGCCTCGATCCCCACACACACAATTTGAAAAGGCCTTACAGAATGACGGTCCCTGTGAGAGGCAACCCCCATGATACTTCTCTTGTTTGTTGTTCTTCAGATAACACGGTACAAACATGAACAGTCTTTGTGAAAAGTGTTAAGTGTGAACCTGGGAACCCGACTCTTTCAGAAAACTAACATGAGAACAGATGCGTCGTGTTCCAGCTCCCTCTCATTTAAAGACATCGGGGAGCCATCCCGTGAACAGGCTGCTCCCGGTGAGCAGGGCCAGCACTTCCGCCTGAAGCTGCAGCCAGGGACCTGCCCGACGAGACGGTCTCTAACAATATTCCCAATGTGTCACAGGAGACAGTAATTCAGCCTAAAATGTCAGGTAAATTAGTGCTAATATTGTTTAACAATTATCTGTATAAACCCCTAGTATACCAATAACAAAACACGCGGCCATGGCATTTTACAAAACCGGAAGTGCATTGGGAATGGCGCTGAAGATCTGGAGACTGTACGTACAGTGCACTCTCTCCCATCACCCTAGGAAGTCTTCTCTGACACCAGGTTTATTTCATTTTTAAAAATATCTTTAAAAAAATAATTTTAGAGAGAGAGGAAGGGAGAGAGAAACATTGATGAGAGAGAGAAACATCGACCAGCTGCCTCCTACACGCCCCCTACTGGGGATCAAGTCTGCAACCCAGGCATGTGCCCTGATGGGGAACTGAGCCAGTGGCTCTCAGGGCCCACGATGCCACTCGACCACTGAGCCACACGGACCGGTGACCCCAGGCCTGAAGAGCTAGCAGCATATTCCGGTGAGAAATGGGGAGAAGGGTCTCTTTGGTGCAGATCCGCCTAAATCCCCCAGCTGGCCTTGGACTTAGACTTCAGTTCTCCCCTAACACAAGGACCAACGAACTGGGACTCGAGTTGTGGGCTGGATGGGAAGGTGGGGGAGACGTTAGCTAACCCTGGAGCGGCCACCAGCAGGGCCCGCCGGCGCCCCTGTGCGCGTGAGAAGGACAAGTCTGCCCGCCCACGCGACCGTCCACACGCGGATACCTGGCCCACCATCTCTGCTCACACGCATGCTCACTGTCTCATCGGACTTCACTTACTGTAAAGTCAGAGCCCTGTTCCGTTTGGCTCAGTGGATAGAGCATCGGCCTGCAGACTGAAGGGTCCCAGGTTCGATTCTGGTCAAGGGCACGTACCTTAGTTGCGGGCTCCGACCCGGCACGGGCCCTGGTCGGGTGCATGCAGGAGGCAGCCCATTGATGTGCTACTCTCACACTGATGTTTCTCTCTGTCTCGCCCCCTCCCCCTCCCTCCCGGTCTCTCTAAAAATCAATGGAAAAACACCCTCAGGTGAGGATGAACAACAAAAGGAACATAAAGCCAGAGACCTAATTATCAACAGGTCCAAGGCTGGAGGTGGACAGCGCAGCCCGCTGCTGAGGGCAGGAGCCTGAGCCACCCACGGTGTCCACGCACTCGGTGGGCGCTGGGCCCGGCCTCGCACTGGACAGGCAGTGCGTGCGGACGGGGAGGCAACGCGGACGCTCATCCCCTGGGAGCTCGGGCCTGCCTCTGGCCTCTGACGGAAGGAAAGGCTCGGGGAAGCCCAGGCGGCCGGTCAGCTGCCCAGCCCCAGCCTGCAGACCGCCTGCAGCGGGAAGGAGGGAGCCATCTCCTCCACTTCCCAGCCCCTCAGCACCGCGTGGGGAGCCGGGGGCTGTGCTGCCCAAGCTGCTGAGTCCAGTCTGCCCAGGACAGGCCCCAGTCCCTGGGGATAACGTCCAAGATCCACCACGTCACCTCAGCTTCCCCCAAACCTGGGAGATGGGACGACGGGAGGGCGGTGCCCTCACCCCCACCGTGACCGGAGGCTTCGGGGGACACCTGGTCAGGAGGGGCTGGGAGCCCATCGGTCTGTCTGCGGGCGCAGGGCTGAGCCACGTCTCGCTCCCCACGTCAGAGCTGGTTTCCCCCTGAACGGCCGCACGTTAAAGGCAGAGAGCGCCAGAGGCATTAAGTGGCATTTTTTTTTTTTTTAATTCCAAGCACATTTGGGGCTTTTCATGGACCGTAAAATTGCTAAATATGAAAAAATAGAGCACTTAGGCCTCTAACTTGTTTCATTGGTTTACATCTCATTTCCCTCCATCTTTTAACGTTAGAATACAGATCACAGCTACATTGAATTTCACCTTTTCCCTTCTATCAAAAATTGGCAAAATCAACTCCCGTAGATCACCTAATGTTTTATTTGGCTCCGGAAAAAAGGCGCGTAAAGCCTCAGTGTAAAATGTCTAACTGCGGCATGGGATAGGGAAGAGCTTGCTTAGGGTGATAACACATCAAGGTCACCCCAGGCCAGGCCAGGGCCAGAGCATAACCCCAACATGTTCAAAAGCACAGAAACAGGTGTTTAAATTAAAAGAAAGCAGCTGTGACACATAACTCAACATTAAGTTCCGTTACGAAATCCCCCTTGCTTCACAAATAATAGTTCTTTACTTATTTGCTCTGTTTATTACATGCTGATTTAAGTGCATTTATTGTATATTAATTTATTTTCATTTTCTCCTTCCTTGAAATTTATGTGTAAATCCAACTCATCCTGTAATAGAAGTAACTTGCATTTATATTTGTACCTGCAGAAATTATAAAAAAATTTCGGAATAAATAAAAAAGAAACAAAAAATATATTAATCAGTGTGCCATCAGAGAAGTCCCAGGGGCGCTCCCTCAGGCCTTGGCGCTGGAAACGCAGATGGAGCCCCCTCCCCTCCCCTCCCCTCCCCTCCCCTCCCCTCCCCTCCCCTCCCCTCCCGTCATCACCCTGTAGCCCGTGTAGGTTAGAAGCTGAGGACACGGAGATGCTTGGCATTTGTGGCCACATCCCCTAGTGACACCCTGGAGACAAACACACCGATACAAGCGCGCCCGGGACGGAGCTGCAGATGGAGCGGGACTCACAGGATGACCCACCACGTCTGCGAACGATGGAGGGCCCTGGGCCAGAGCTGGGCAGTGCCCAGGCACCTGGAGTGACGCCAGCGCAGTGCAGAGCGGGTTTATGTCATGGGTGGGGCTACTTCGGGTCAGAAACCATGCCTCCTGCACAGGGCACAGAGCCAGGCGCTGGCTGAGGCACACGCCCAGCAGGGGGAGCCCTCCCTGGGCCTAAAAGGATAAGGGGTCTGGGTGGGGAAGCCCTTTTAGAGAAACACCCACCATGTGCACGACCCAGAACGCAAACATCAGAAAGGAGCAGGCGGCAACAGCAGGACACAAAACCTAGTGCCCGAGCCCAGCCAGGGTCAACCTGTGAGCGTCCACCCAGGAGCCAGGAGGTGGAGGTTCGAGTCCCGGTCAGGGCACAGGCCCAGGTGGTGGGCGCCATCCCCAGTGCGGGCTGTGCAGGAGGCAGCCGATCCATGATTCCCTCTCGTCATTGATGTTTCTCTCTCTCCCTGCCTTTCCCTTCTTCTCTGAAATCAATAAAAATAAATTTAACAACAACAACAAAACAAACAAAAAAACCCAGTACCTTGGGAGACAGAGCCACTAGCTTTGACCTCCGGACAGCGGCGGGCGGAGGAGTCCTGGGAGGAACAAGCTAGGCTCTTTGCTCTTCATCCTACTCTCGTCCCGGCGGAAATGGAGGTGAGGAGCAGGCGGACGGGGCCGGCGGACACCCGGAGAGGAGGCGCCTCAGCCATCGCTGTGCACACGCTCATCCGCGTCTGCAGAGAACGGTGAGCCGCAGATGCTCATTCGGGGCCGAGTTTTAGAAGGAAACGGTCCCGTCCAGCGAGACGGGCGTGTAACGTTAACTCCCGCGGCAGCTACACGGTGACGCACACAGCTGTAGCGCTCGGCCGCTCAAACGTGTGTATCCCGGGGGCGGGACCCTCTCCCTGCCAGGGCCATTTGGATGCTTAGACCATCACTTGCGGGCCGCACAGAAGCGTCCACGTAGCAGTTAGCCTGCTCTATTGGGGCAGCCTCCTCGTAGGACTTTTCTGTTTCATAAGACTTAAGCCGTTTTCCAGAACTTTCATCCCCTGTAGACACTGCCCGCTGAGTGCCTGCTCCCCAATGAGGCCCCCAAGGGAAACGGGGTGGAGAGCTGAGGGGACAGAGGCCCTGAAACCAGCACAAAGGGAAGCGCTTGGGAGCCTGTCCGTGACAACATGAGTGAGCAGGGACAACCTCTGCCGACCAGGGCCCAGGCCCCGCAGACGTTCACGCGGCTCACGTAGCATGCTCTGGGCGTCATATCAACAATGTGCGTGACGGCCACGGACGCTCCTTCTGTGCGTGACGGCCACGGGCGCTCCTTCTGTGCGTGACGGCCACGGACGCTCCTTCTGTGCGTGACGGCCACGGGCGCTCCTTCTGTGCGTGACGGCCACGGGCGCTCCTTCTGTGCGTGACGGCCACGGGCGCTCCTTCTGTGCGTGACGGCCACGGGCGCTCCTTCTGTGCGTGACGGCCACGGGCGCTCCTTCTGTGCGTGACGGCCACGGGCGCTCCTTCTGTGCGTGACGGCCACGGGCGCTCCTTCTGTGCGTGACGGCCACGGGCGCTCCTTCTGTGCGTGACGGCCACGGGCGCTCCTTCTGTGCGTGACGGCCACGGCCGCTCCTTCTGTGCGTGACGGCCACGGACGCTCCTTCTGTGCGTGACGGCCACGGGCGCTCCTTCTGTGCGTGACGGCCACGGGCGCTCCTTCTGTGCGTGGC